AGCTGATAATTTTAAAAGTACAGTCCTTTATATTAAATAAATTTTGCTCCCAGAAAAAAACTCACAAGACTGTCCTTATTTTTCTCATTTCCCTACCAAGAAGAGAAAAAAATCATCACAGACCAAGAGCAGGGAATGACATTTCCAAAAAGAGTGAGATCTGTCATCCAGTCCACCCAAATTTTTCCACCTGCAAGACACTGGCGGGGCGGTGAGTAAGATCTGCCCATCTGTGCCCTTCCACAGCCGGGAACAATGCAGCAGGAGAATGGGGGGATCCGGAAGCACTCACAGCTCCAAACTGGGCCTGCGTCCCACAGCCTCAGCTCCGGGCAACCTCTGATGGGGACACTGAAAGAAGCACCCTGGTCATTTTTCCCCTCTTTGTTTTTTTTGTTTTTGTTTTTGTTTTTTCGAAATGGAGTCTGGTTCTGTTGCCCAGGCTTGAGTGCAGTGGCACAATCTCGGCTCACTTCAACCTCCACCTCCGGAGTTAAAGCGATTCTTCTGCCTCAGCCTTCCAAGTAGATGGGATCACATGGGCCACCACGCCCAGCTAATTTTTTTTGTAATTTCAGTAGAGACGGGGTTTCACCATGTTGGCCAGGATGGCCTCGGACTCCTGACCGCAGGGGATCCGCCCATCTTTGCCTCCCAAAGTGCTGAGATTACAGGTGTGAGCCACCATGCCTGGCGTCTCTTTGCATTTTTAAGGGAATAGTTAGATAGTCTTTTAAACTTACAACAATTTTTTTTTTTTTTTTAAAGACAGGGTTTCACCATATTGGTCAGGCTGGTCTCAAACTCCTGACCTCAGGTGATCCGCCTGCCTCAGCCTCCCAAAGTGTTGGGATTACAGGCGTGAGCCACTGCGCCCGGCAACGATTTTTTTTTATATATATATACAAAATTTTGCTCTTGTTGCCCAGGCTGGAGTGCAGTGGCGTCATCTGGCACACTGCATCCTCCACTTCCCGGGTTCAAGTGATTCTCCTGCCTCAGCCTCCAGAGTAGCTGGAATTACAGATGCATGCCACCATGCCAGGCAAATTTTTGTATTTTTAGTAGAAATGGGGTTTTGCCATGTTGGCCAGGCTGATCTTGAACTCCTGAGATCAGGTGATCTGCCTGCTTCAACCTCCCGAAGTGCTGGGATTACAGGCGTGAGCCACCACGCCCAGCCACAACAACTGTGTTTGAGACAGGGTCTCACTCTGTTGCCCAGGCTGGAATACCGTGATGTGATCACTGGTACAGCTTCAACATCCCAGGCACAAACAATCCTCCTAAGTAGCTGGACCAACAGGCACTTACCACCACGCTTGGCTATTTTTGTTTACTTTTTATAGAGATGGGGTCTCACTATGTTGCCCAGGCTGGTCTCAAACTCCTGGGCTCAAGCGATCCTCCTGCCTTGGCCCCTCAAAGTGCTCAGATTACAGGAGTGTGCCACTGTGCCTGGCTTTATTTATTAGTGTTATAATTTTTTGAGACAAGGTCTTGCTCTGTTGCCCAGGCTGGAATACAGTGGCGTGATCACGTCTCACTACAGCCTCAACCTCCCAGGCTCAAGCCATCCTCCCGCCTCAGCCTTCCAGAGTGCTGGGATTACAGGCATGTGCCTCTACATCTCGCTTATAGTATATAATACGGTTTTGTATTTTAACCTTTCTATTATAGGAGCAGTAAATGATTGTAGGAGAAAATGTAAAAAATTTGAAGACAAGAAAATTTAAGCAAAACCTACCATTTCCACCACACAGAGACCACCAGTGTTAGCTTAAGGTGTATTCTTGCAGAGGAGGCATAGGTATAGCACGTATGTGTATAAATATGCTTGTGTGTATGTGCACGTGTGTATGAATGTACATGTATGTAGGTATACACAAATGCATAGTATCTGTGTGTTTGCAAAGCGCGGACGTGCTACGCGCACCATTCTGCAGCCTTGGTGGGATCAGTCCCAATCTCTTACCTTTCCACTCCAGTCATCTCACCATAGTCAGATATTCCCAATGAACCCAACATGTCCCACACGTACTTTTTGGCTAGTTGTGTATTCAATCTGGGGCTGCACGTGACATCTGGGTGTCGAGTGCCATCGTGTCTTTGAATCTAGTAAACCCCATTTCTCTGGCATTGTTTGCTGGATTTCTCCGGCAGCTCTCTTGTGTCATGTAGCTGGTTCCTTGTATTTCCGATAAACTAGAAGTGATGTGTAAAGGCTCATGGATTCAGGTTAACCCAAGGGGACACATCACGTGTGGCTGAGACCACCGGCAATGCTAAGATTGACCATGGCACCCGCCATGCGCCTTGGAAAGACACCGCAATCCACGTGGCATCGCTTCAGTCCTACAGTCATTTTCCCATCAACTCTTCACCTAATGGCTGTGGCACCAATGAAAAATCATTGTGTTTTAAAATCGGGGTTTTGCAGTTTAGGTATGATGAGGCCAACAATCGAGTATGCTAAGGATGGGGTGACATTGAAGTAAAGACTCAAAGGAGTGAGCCTTGTGGCTGGCTGTGGGAAGTGTTCCTGGAGAGGAAGCAGCAGGAGGAAAGGCCTAGAGGCAGGTTTGCAGAAAAGCAGGCGAGGGGTCGTGGCTCATGTCTGTAACCCCAACGCTTTAGAAGATTCAGGTGAGAGGATCAGTTGAGGTCAGGAGTTTGAGACCAGCCTGGGCAACACAGCAAGACCCCATCTCTACAAAAGATTTAAAGAATTAGCCAGGTGTGGTGGCATGTGCCTGTAGTCCTAGCTACTTGAGAGGCTTAGGTGGAAGGAGCGCTGGAGCCCAGGAGTTCAAGGCTGCAGTGAGCTATGATTGCACCACTGCACTTCAGCTGGGGTGACAGAGTGAGACCCTGTCTCTAAAAGAAAAGGAAACAGACTCAGTACTCTGAAGCCAAGTGGGAGAGGGAGAGAGCGGTGAGAAACAAAGCCGGAGGTAACAGGGGAGGGAGCGCCACAGCACGCCGGACCTGGCAAGCATTGTCCAGACTTAGATGGGAAGCCGCTGGAGTGTTTGGATGGGTGCCCCAAACCTCAGAACGGGCTTTCCGCGTATCCTTGTTTCATTCCCAGCTCAAGTCCCCCATGTAAGTGTGTTATTGGTCGCAGAGTGCCCTCCATGCATTCCCTGAGTGTTCTTGGGAGCAGGCATTGTCCTAGGCACTATGAAGACAGAAGTGAGAGAAATGAAAAGGCACAGGCCCTGCCCTCCTGGAGCCTAGAATCTGGTGAGGGAGGAAAGACTAGAAGAATTCTACAGGCCAGGCACAGTAGCTCATGCCTGCAATCCCAGCACTTTGGAGGCCAGGAGTTCAAGACCAACTTGGCCAGCATGATGAAACCCCATCTCTATCAAAAATACAAAAATTGCCGGGCGCGGTGGCTCAAGCCTGTAATCCCAGCACTTTGGGAGGCCGAGGCGGGTGGATCACGAGGTCGAGAGATCGAGACCATCCTGGTCAACATGGTGAAACCCCGTCTCTACTAAAAATACTAAAAATTAGCTGGGCATGGTGGTGCGTGCCTGTAATCCCAGCTACTCAGGAGGCTGAGGCAGGAGAATTGCTTGAACCCAGGAGGCGGAGGTTGCAGTGAGCCGAGATCGCGCCATTGCACTCCAGCCTGGGTAACAAGATCGAAACTCCGTCTCAAAAAAAAAAAAAAAAAAAAAAAAATACAAAAATTAGCTGGGCGTGGTGGTGCACAACTATAATCCCAGCTACTCGGGAGGCTGAGGCAGGAGGATCACTTGAACCCGGGAGGCGGAGGCTGCAGTGAGCCGAGATCACACCACTGCACTCCAGCCCAGGCAACAGAGTGAGACTCTGTCTCAAAAATAAATAAATAAATAAAAGAGTGAAGTGCAGGTGTGCCTCCAATCTGGTCCTGGAGGCTGGGGATACCTCCCCTGAGGAAGTGATTCCTAGTCAAAATCTGAAAGGCCAAGAAGGATCAACAAGGTGGAGAGAGAAGATGCTTGTTCCAGGCAAAAAGAACAGTGGGAAGGAGCAAGCATGGCAGACGACGTGGAAGGGAAGGCGGGCAGAGGTTCCAGAGATTGCAAGCTTTCTGCCTGCATTCTAAGAGCAATGAGTGATTTAAGCAAGAGGTGATGGGTCAGGACTCGGAAGGCCTCTCTGCCTCTATGTGGAAAAGGGCTTGGAGAGTAGAAATAGATGTAGTCGGCCGGATGTGGTGGCTCATGCCTGTAATCCCAGCACTTTGGGAAGCCAAGGCAGGCAGATCACCTGAGGTCAGGAGTTCAAGACTAGCCTGACCAACATAGTGAAACCCCTTCGCTACTAAAAATACAAAATTAGCCAGGCATGGTGGCGTGCACCTATAATCCCAGTTACTCAGAGGCTGAGGCTGGAGAATCGAGAGAGAGAGAGAGAGAGAGAGAGAGAGAGAGAGAGAGAAAGAAAGAAAGAAATAGATGTAGTTAGACAGTGAGGAATCACTACGGTCTGGGGAAGCAAAGGCAGTGCTGGGGATGGAGGACGCAGACAGGTTCCAGGGCCACTGAGGGGATCAGCAGGACTCCTGAGCCATCAGTCGGCAGGGGCAGGACTGGCTGGAGGACAGGGACAGATCCTGCTGGCCTGCATAACACCAGGTTCATCTTGAGGTTGACATTTATCCTTGACCTTTTTGTTTAGTCCCCACCCACAAGGTCGCATTAGCTGCCTGCTGAGTTTAATCAAATCTCTTCCTGTCCTGGCAAAGCCCGGGAGTGAAGGGATTATCAGTCTATTTCCAGAATCCAAAGAGGTTTAGAAGAAAAAGTAGCTTTCATTTAGCTGTTGGCCCTCCCACCAACCTTCCCCAAGTGAGCTGGGTGACTCATACATATGTGAGACCCTCTGTCTGGAGACTGGGGCGGAGGGTGTTGCCTAATGCCCAGAACTGCTGAAACTACCAGTTCACCGTCTCAGCACTAATCCAACTCTGCTCCTTAAGTGGGATTTGGCTTTTAGACATTGAGACCTGGGTGCTGGGCATCCTCGCTAGATCCCCTACAAATTCCCCACATATGTAGCCCAGGGGTCTCAGCAGGGCCTCTGCCGGCTCATCTGGTGAGACGGTACCAGCTTGCTCAGAACAGGGGCTGGCTGTTCATCATCTCAGGGCATAGAGACCCTCTCCTTGCCACCTGGCCCTTCCCACCTGGTTGGTGACAAATCACAAGGTATGTGACCACCACAGGCCAAAACCTTCTCAGAAACCTGGGGCAGGTATGGGGAAGAGCTAGGATGGGTGTTTTCATGCAGACAGTGTGTCCCAGCTTCACTTTTTCTGTGTGGTTTCCATAAGACTGCTAATTAAGGAGACTCGGAGTGAGTTGGGGGCAGTGGCTCATGCCTATAGTCCCAGCGACTCAGGAGGCTGAGGATGGAGGATTGCTTGAGGCCAGGAATTCGAGACCAACTTGAGCAATACAGTCAGACCCAGTCTCTCCCCCCTCCAAAAAAAATAACAAAAATAAGTTAACTAGGCATGGTGGCACACACCTGTAGTCCTAGCTACTCAGTAGGCTGAGGCAGGAGGATTACTTGAGCCCAGGAGTTTGAGGCTGCTGTGAGCTACGATTGTGGCATTGCACTCCAGCCTGGGCAACAGAACAAGATCCTGTATCTTAAAAAAAAAGCCTCAGAGTATGTTTAATTCCAGACCACTAAGATGGCCTCTTAATTGTAAAACAGTGGTAAAACGGATAACAAGAAAAGGCTGTCTCTTAGTATGAATTGCTAAATAGAACTTTTGGAATTTTAATATATTCTTTTTTTTTTTTTTTAAAGGTAGGATCTTTTTTAAATAAAGAAAAAAGACAGGATCTTGCTATGTCACCCAGGCCAGTCTCCGCTCCTGGCTTCAAATGATCCTCTTGCTTCAGCCTCCTAAAGAATTGAGATTACTGGTGTAAGCCACAGTACCTGACCATTAGTATATTTTTGGAAACAGTATTTGTGAAGTGGTTATGTTGTGATTTTCAGGAATTTTTTTGATTTATTTGTCATAAGACACTGTCATGATAGAACTTTAAATTCAACCTGGCACTAGTGTGATAACGTCAAAGGTTTGTTAGAAAGGAAAACCTCATAGGGATCCAGCTGGACTCCTTGGTGAGGTTTACTGAGAAATGTTCGATGCTTACCGAAACAATAAAATATTCAACTGGGTGCAGTGGCTCACTCCTGACCTCAGGTGATCCACCTGCTTCAGGTGGATCACCTGAGGTCAGGAGTTCAAGACCAGCCTGGCCAACATGGCAAAACACTGTCTCTACTAAAAATAAAAAACAAAAATAAAAATAAAATAGCTGGATGTGGTGGTGGGCACCTACAATCCCAGCTACTTGGGAGGCTGAGGCTGGAGAATTGCTTGAACCTGGGAGATGGAGGTTGCAGTGAACCGAGATTGCACCATTGCACTCCAGCCTGGGTGATGGAGCCTGAGACTCTGTCTCAAAAAAAAAAAAAAGAAAGAAAAAAGAAAAGAAAATATCAGGGCCGGGCGCGGTGGCTCACGCCTGTAATCCCAGCACTTTGGGAGGCCGAGGCGGGTGGATCACAAGGTCAAGAGATCAAGACCATCCTGGTCAACATGGTGAAACCCCGTCTCTACTAAAAATACAAAAAATTAGCTGGGCATGGTGGTGCGTGCCCATAATCCCAGCTACTCAGGAGGCTGGGCAGGAGAATTGCCTGAACCCAGGAGGCGGAGGTTGCGGTGAGCTGAGATCACGCCATTGCACTCCAGCCTGGGTAACAAGAGCGAAACTCCATCTCAAAAAAAAAAAAAGAAAAGAAAGAAAAGAAAGAAAATATTAAAAACACCCAAAGCATGCCAGAGTAAAATGCAAACTAAGCAAAGACCATGTTGATGCAGGTGGAAGGGAGTGTCCAGTGAAGATGCACAGCATCTCGTGAGTAGGTCTTCTATCCAGGATGTTCTTGACTTGATATTCATGATTGTCTTGCCTTTCCCCAGCCCTCTAACACCTGACGAACATACTAAGGTGGTAGAAGTTGCCAGGCACAGATTAACATGGCAGCCAGCGGGAAGACCAGCAAGTCCGAACCGAACCAAGTTATCTTCAAGAAGATCTCCCGGGACAAATCGGTAAGTGGTACAGAAGTGAGTGATTTGATAGAAATTATTGTTTAAAAAAATGGAGCTTTTTCAAGTACAGTGTAGTCAGGATCAACATCAAAACCCTTTGAGGGCCAGGGCGTGGTGGCTCATACCTGTAATCCCAGCACTTTAGAAGGCTGAGGCCCGTGAATCACTTGAGGCCAGGAGTTTGAGACCAGCCTGGCCAACATGGCAAAACCCTCTCTGCTAAAAATACAAAAATTAGCTGGGTGTGGTAGTGGGTGCCTGTAATCCCAGACTTGGGAGGCTGAGGCATGAGAATTACTTGAACCCAGGAGGTAGAGGTTGCAACGAGCCCAGCCCAGATCATGCCACTGCACTCCAGCCTGGGTAACAGAGGGAGACTATGTCTCCAAGAAAAAAACAAGCAAACCCTATGAGGGGCAGGGAAGCTTTGTGTCTATTTTCCATCTCTGTCTAAGATGGAAGATCAATGAGATATAAATGAATGAATGAACTGCAGAAATGCGGCTTCTCTTCAGTCTCATCAAGATGTTAGTCTTGTGACCCTCAATTTTCTCCCAATCGCTCAATCCCCACACTGTCACCCCCACCTCTGCTTCTTTTCCTAGCTGGCCTAGAACCCTTGACTTACTATTTAAACACTATTTTGTCAGTACCTGTGATGCCCCTGGCCTTTCAACTATCTATTGTGTCACCTGCCTGGGTAAAACCAGACACTGATCAATGTGACTCCTTCTTTGTGCACCTGCCCCAACACAGAGCTCTCAAACCTCAGTGGGGCCTGTGGGGCCACTGGAAAAGGGAACGTGCCCCCATCTGCCCTCTTTCCATCACTCTTCAGGGGCATATTAGATGCTCCAGATATGCCCATGAACTTCCTGGCATGGGAAAGGGTCTACCCTCCAGCCTCTGTGGATAGCTCCACTCAATAGCTTCTTAGGTATAGCTCAGCGCTGTCCAGTGCAAGCCACAGATGTAATTTTAAATTTTCTAGTAGCCACTTTTAAAAGTAAGAAGAGGCCGGGTGCGGTGGCTCAAGCCTGTAATCCCAGCACTTTGGGAGGCCAAGGTGGGTGGATCACTCTCTCTCTCTCAAAAAAACAACAACAACAACAACAAAAAAAAAAACTATGGACTTCATTCATCTTAAAAACAACCACCACCTGCCCTTGACCCTATATCGTTTCTAGCTCTCCTTCCCTTGCAGCCAAACCTTTTGAAAGAGAAGGAAGGCCGGGCGCGGTGGCTCAAGCCTGTAATCCCAGCACTTTGGGAGGCCGAGGCGGGTGGATCACGAGGTCAAGAGATTGAGACCATCCTGGTCAACCTGGTGAAACCCCGTCTCTACTAAAAATACAAAAAATTAGCTGGGCGTGGTGGCACGTGCCTGTAATCCCAGCTACTCAGGAGGCTGAGGCAGGAGAATTGCCTGAACCCAGGAGGCGGAGGTTGCGGTGAGCCGAGATCGCGCCATTGCACTCCAGCCTGGGTAACGAGCGAAACTCCGTCTCAAAAAATAAATAAATAAATAAATAAATAAATAAAAAACAACCACCACCTGCCCTTGACCCTATATCGTTTCTAGCTCTCCTTCCCTTGCAGCCAAACCTTTTGAAAGAGAAGGAAACTTTCCTCTCTTCACCTACCCTCTTCTCTTCCATCCACTCTTCAGTCCTTAAGTCCTCACAGTCGGGCTGCCTAACTGGCTTTCCCCTTGCCAATCAGTTCCCCACTGTGCTAAATCTCAGTGCTCCCTTCTATAAAATGGGCTCAATTCCTATCTCATTGAGTTGCTGTGAGGATTAAATGAAACCATGTGGTCAACGTGCTTAGCTTGGCCCCTGATACATGATAAGCACCCTAAATGCCATTTAATTCTTCCAAAAGCTATTTCTCTATTTAGCGCCTCTAAATACTGTTTAATTCAAGTCTTTCATCCTGCTTAAAACACTTCACGGTCTTCTGAGGTTCTTTAGGGTCAGGTCCTATGAGACCATTTCAGCAGCAGCCTGCATCCCCATTCTGTGGCCATTCACCTGCAGGCGAAGCTACTGGCAGTTCTAGAAGCATTCTCGGGCCCTGGGCTTTGTATACATTTTGCTCACAGCGCATGCCCTCCCCGTCCCCTGTCCCCTGGCCATGCCATTTGTCCACTGGATAGAGCCCCTCTGAAAGCCAGAGCCTTCCCTCTCTCCTTGCCCTCCCCTGGGGCTTCCTCCCCATCAGCCTTTGCCCTGGCATTTATCCCAGGGGCATAATTGCCTGTTTACTTGTTGGGCTCCCAACCAAAGAGCAGGGACCCTGGGGAGCAATGGGATGTGTTCTTGGGTTTTTATTTTCAGCAGCCAGCAGCTGCTGGGGCCTCTAGAACCATGTGTGGGATGAAATCGACAGGCCAAGTCTAGCAGAGGAGACTGGCTCCGGCGAGAGCACCCGGAACACGGTGTGGTGCAGGCTGCAGTGGGGCCGCAGGCACCTGCTCCCGGGGGGTGTGGGGCAAAGGGAGAGATGGGGACCCTGAGGTGTCCTCTGAAGCGTGGATAGGACTCCACCCCGGAGAAAGTGCAGCAGAATGGCCTTCCTTACAGTGGAAACAATAGGAACAGAGGCACAAATCTGTGGTGTTTCGAGGAGCTGTGGCAGAGCTGCTGTGGCCAGTGGCCAGGAAGAGCGGAGCTGTTAGGGAGGATGCTCTCAGCGTGGCCACGCACAAGGCACTGGAGTTTATTCCGCAGGGAAGGAGCGAGCTGCCAGTAGACACTGAGCAGCAGAATAGCAGTATATCAGTCATGATTCCGGCAAGGCAGCCTGTAAATAGGTAGATTTGAGGATATATATATATATATATATATATATGGGATTTTTAAAAAATAAGTATCACTTTTTAAAATTGCATTTTAGGTTTTGGGGTACATGTGAAGAACATACAAGATTGTTGCATAGGTACACACATGGCAGCGTCATTTGCTGCCTTCCTCCCCATCACCTATATCTGACATTTCTCCCCACGCTCTCTCTCCCCAACTCCCCACCCCCCGCTGTCCCTCCTCTGTTTTCCCCCCGACAGACTCCAGTGTGTGATGTTCCCCTCCCTGTGTCCATGTGTTCTCATTGTTCAACACCTGCTCATGAGTGAGAACATGCGGTGTTTGATTTTCTGTTCTTGTGTCAGTTTGCTGAGAATGATGGTTTCCAGGTTCATCCATGTCCCTACAAAGGACACGAACTCATCAATTTTTATGTCTGCATAGCATTCCGTGGTGTATATGTGCCACATTTTCCCTGTCCAGTCTATTATCGATGGGCATTTGGGTTGGTTCCAGGTCTTTGCTATTGTAAACTGTGCTGCAATGAACATTCGTGTGCATGTGTCCTTATAGTAGAACGATTTATAATCCTTTGGATATATACCCAGTAATGGGATTGCTGGGTCAAATGGAATTTCTATTTCTAGGACCTTGAGGAATCACCACACTGTCTTCCATGGGTTTTTAAAATTTGAGACAGGGTCTTACTCTGGAAACCAGTGAAGGTCTCTTTACCCTCTTTGTGGGAGAGCAGGGTTGGAGTGCAATGGTACAATCGTAGCTCACTACAGTTTCAGCCTCCTAGGCTCAAGTGATCCTCCTTCCTCAGCCTCCAAAGTAGTTGGGGCTACAAGCAGGCACCACCTTGCCAAGCTAATTTTTTTTTTTTTTTTTTGAGACGGAGTTTTGATCTTGTTACCCAGGCTGGAGTGCAATGGCGCGATCTCGGCTCACCGAAACCTCCGCCTCCTGGGTTCAGGCAATTCTCCTGCCTCAGCCTCCTGAGTAGCTGGGATTACAGGCACGTACCACCATGCCCAGCTAGTTTTTTGTATTTTTAGTAGAGACGGGGTTTCACCATGTTGACCAGAATGGTCTCGATCTCTCGACCTCATGATCCACCTGCCTCGGCCTCCCAAAGTGCTGGAATTACAGGCTTGAGCCACCTCGCCTGGCCGCCAAGCTAATTTTTTAAAAACTTTTTTTGTAGAGATGGCAAGTGGCAGAGGAGGGGGCATCACTTTGTTGCCCAGGCTTGAACTCCTGACTTCAGGCAATCCTTCCCACCTTGGTCTCTCAGTACTGGGATTACAAGCATGAGCCATTGTACCTGACCAGAGGAGAGTTTTTAAAAGGGGTTGTTTGCTGAGGTGTAGGCATGTGTGAAAGAAATCACAAGAAATAGCCAGGTGCAATGGCTCATGCCTGTAATCCCAGCACTTTGGAAGGCCAAGGTGGGTGGATTGCTTGAGCCCAGGAGTTTGAGACCAGCCTGGGCAACATGGGGAGACCCCATCTCTACAAAAAAATACAAAAAATTTAAGCTGGGCTTGGTGGCATGCATCTGGGAGGCCTGTGGTGGGGGGAATAACTTGATCCTGGCACACAAAGGTTGTGGTGAGCCACGATAGTGCCACTGCACACCAGGCTGGGTGACGGAATGAGACCTTGTCTCAAAAAAAAAAAAAAAAAAAAAAAAAGAGAGAGAGAGAGATCATAACAAAGAGTTAGTTTAATATGTCACACAGCATTGAGAAGCAGCTGGGCACTGGTACCTCCCTGGGCTTAAGAGATGAGGGATGGCACAAATATCAGAACTCCGAGGCCCTCAGGGCTACCTGCCAGGAACTGTGGTCCCCAGTAGAGGGCTGTGCCAGCCCCAGGCCTGGCCACCATCCAGGCAAGGTGGAGACAAACATCTGGCCCACCTTACCCAGAAGCCAGAAGGCCAGGGAATCTACTAGGGCAACACACCCTGGTCAACCCCCAAGGGTGGATCTTGAGGGCGAGGCCAAGACGCCCACAGTGTTTAGGAAGCTGGGACTCACCGCAGGAACCAGCAGGTAGCAGTGTGTGCCCTGGTCAGCTCTCTCCTCTCATATGCCAGGCTTCCACACCACCCAGGCTAGTGAGGTCTGGAAGCCTGGCTTAGTGCTGGAAGTATAAAATTTCCCATGGAATCTTTTCTGTAAACCAGGGTTCCAGTGGTATTTGCTTGAAGTCACTTCAGCATTAATCATGCAAGTAACCTAGAGGGCACAGGACTACACTTCAGGGCATCTGATATGGGTGGAAGGGGGCAGTCTAGAGAGGACTTAATGCCAACAGAAATGACTTAGGCAGTTCCTGGAATTCAAAATATGCATTTGAAGAAGGGGGCCAGCCAAAGGATGTGCTGTCATTCATTGATGCACTTGGCAAACACTGAATCTTTGTGTGCCCTAGACTCTGTAATAGATGCTTAAAGATGTGCAGAAGACCCCAGCTGACTACCATTAAAGTGCTGAGGGCCGGGGAACCCGATCCTGCTCTCTCATAAGTTCTTTGTTGTTGTTGTTGTTTTGAGACAGAGTCTGACTCTGTCACCCAGGCTGGAGTTCGGTGGCACAATCTCTGCTCACTGCAACGTCCACCTCCCAGGCTCAAGCGATTTCCTGCCTTAGTCTTTGGAGTAGCTGGGATTACAGGCGTGCGCCGTCATGCCTGGCTAATGTTTGTGTTTTTAGTAGAGACAGGGTTTTGTCGTGTTGGCCAGGATGGCCTCGAACTCCTGACCTCAGGTGATCCACCCACCTCAGCCTCCCAAAGTGCTGGGATTACAGGCGTGAGTCACCACGCACAGCCTGTCCAGAAGTTCTTGTAGCAAAGAGGGGATACCTTTCATTCCACAGCTGGAAATAAAAGATTTAACAGCAAATGGATGGCAAAAGTCTCATTTACATAATTTTCCACTTAAGTATTAAAAGGTAATTCAGCAAGTTTAGCTGGCTGATATCCAACCTGGGCTTGATGAGAGAAAGGTGAGAACAGGGAGCCCCGACCATCTAAAGGGGTAGGAAGAATTCCTTTGAGCAGATAGATGAGAACTGAGGACAGAACACGCGTTGCCTGAAATCTGTTGTCTCTGCCCACAGCCGAGCCGGGGCGACTGCAAAGCCTCCTCTTTTCAAGATGAATGAGAAGACGCAGTTGCTGCTGGTTTTTATCATGGCTCCCTTAGCTTAGCATTCTTTGGCTCTTAGCCCCACACCTGTTCTTCTTCCAGGTGACCATCTACCTAGGGAAGAGAGACTACATAGACCACATCAGCAAAGTCCAGCCTGTGGGTAAGTTGATTGGAGAAAACCGTAATGCTGTTTTTCCTTTAAGTCATCAGATGACTGCTCACTTTGTATTTTTAAAAATCGGGAGGGGAGGTGGAGGAGTAAAAAAAAAAAAAATCAGCTTTGCTATTAATCTAATTAAAGAAATGCAAATTCAAACATCAGTGAGGCACCACTGGCTGATTGGAAACAATTTTATTTATTTTTACTTTTTTTTTTTTTTTTTGGGGGACGGAGTTTCGCTCTTGTTACCCAGGCTGGAGTGCAATGGCACGATCTCGGCTCACCGCAACCTCCGCCTCCTGGGCTCAGGCAATTCTCCTGCCTCAGCCTCCTTATTTTTACTTTAATTTTTGAGATGGAATTTCGTTCTTGTTGCCCAGTCTGGAGTGCAGTGGCGCGATCTCAGCTCGCTGCAACCTCTACCTCCTGGGTTCAAGTGAGTCTCCTGCCTCAGCCTCCCAAGTAGCTGGGACTACAGGCATGTGCCATCATGCCAGCTAATTTTGTATTTTTAGTAGAGATGGGGTTTTACCATGTTGGTCAGGCTGGTCTTGAACTCCTAACCTCAGGTGGTTCACCTGCCTCGGCCTCCCAAAGTGCTGGGATTATAGGCGCGAGCCACCACATCCAGCTGGAAACAATTTTCAAGAGTGTGAAGAGACAAAGGACTCAGTGTCTGGAATATATGAAGAGTGCTCAGAACTTAACAGTACAAAACGTAAGGTGCTAGGAGAAAATGGGCAAAAGACAGGAAGCGAAGGTGCACAGGAGACAAGCAAGCCCGTGGAAACTGTTTGGCATCATTAGCCAATAGGGAAATACGGATTAAAGCTACAGTGAGAGTGTATCATACACCTGCCAAAATGGCTACAATATTTTAGACTGGGCCGGGCGCGGTGGCTCAAGCCTGTAATCCCAGCACTTTGGGAGGCCGAGGCGGGTGGATCACGAGGTCGAGAGATCTAGACCATCCTGGTCAACATGGTGAAACCCTGTCTCTACTAAAAATACAAAAAGAAAAAAAAAATTAGCTGGGCATGGTGGTGCGTGCCTGTAATCCCAGCTACTCAGGAGGCTGAGGCAGGAGAATTGCCTGAACCCAGGAGGCGGAGGTTGTGGTGAGCCGAGATCGCGCCATTGCACTCCAGCCTGGGTAACAAGAGCGAAAACTCCGTCTCAAAAAAAAAAAAAAAATATTTTAGACTGATGCAAAAGTAATTGCAGTTTTTTGCCATTCCTTTCAATGTAGTGGCACGATCTTGGCTCACTGCAACCTCCAGCCTCCTGGGCTCAAGCGATCCTCCCACCACGGCCTCCTAAGTAGCTGAGACTTCAGGCATGTGCCACCACGCCTGGCTACTTTTTGTATTTTTTGTAGAATTGGGGTTTCACCATGTTACCCAGGCTGGTCTCGAACTCCTGAGCGCAAGTGATCTGCCTGCCTCAGCTCTCAAAGTGCTGAGATTACAGGCGTGAGCCACTGCACCCAGCAGCAGTTTCTTAAAACATGAAACATATACTTACCATATGACCTGACAGCTGCATCCTGGGCACTTAGAGAAATGAAAACTGGTGTCCTCACAAAAACCTATACGTCATTGTTCACTGCAGCTTCATTTGTGGTAGCTCCAAACCGGAAAGAACAAAAATGTCCCTCAGAAAGTCCCACGTCAGCTTCCTAGTTTTGATATCGTACTATAATTATGGCAGATGGAACCATTGGGAGAAACTGCATGAAGGATACGAGGGGCGTCTCGGTACTATCTTTGCAGCTTCCTGTGAATCTGTAATCATTTCAACACAAAAGGGTTTTTAAAGACTGTAGAAAAACTGGCAGTTTCAGATACTGGATATGAAAATGTTCCTTGGCAAAACACTTTCTGGAAGGTTATTTGGCAGCATGTTATCAAAAGCCAAATCCAATTCTATAATTTTTTTTTTTTAAATCATGGAGAGAGATAAAGTATATATAAGGATGCTTATCACAATATTAATTATAATGGGAAACACTGGAAACAACTTTGATACCCTCACAATGGGAAGTGATTCAATAATTGATGGTGCATCTATTCAATGGAGTAATATGTAGCTATTAAAATCATGAGCACGTTTTCTCTGTATGTGCATATATATGTATACATGTGTGTATAGATGTACGTATGTATGAATAGACGTTTGCAACGTAGAACTGAGTGAGTAAAACACTTAACTGAACAGTATGTGCAGTGGGGTCTCTTTTTTCTACTTAGTAAAAGCATTCATGTAATGTTTTTATTATGTTTATAATGTTTTAAGTTATGTATGTTTATAAGGTTTTAAGTTATATATGTTTATAATGTTTAAAGTTATATATGTTTATATATAATGTTTATAATGTTTAAGTTATATGTGTTTATAATGTTTTAAGTTATATATGTTTATAATGTTTTAAGTTATATATGTTTGGAAAAAAAATTGGGGGGGGCGCGTGCAGGGCAGTGTCTCACTCTGTCACCTAGGCTGGAGTGCAGTGGCATAGTCACAGCTGACTGCAGCCTCAATCTCACAGGTTCAAGAAATCCCCGTGCCTCAGCCTCTCAGGTAGCTGGGACCACAGGTGTGCACCACCACGCCTGGCCCATGCCTTACTAACTTTTTTTCTTTTTTCTTCTTAGTATGTTTTGAGAAAAGTTCTGACTCTATTGCCCAGGCTTGAGTGAAGTGGCATGATGACGGCTTACTGCAGCCTTGACTTCCCTGGTTCAAGGGATCCTCCTGCCTCAGCCTAGTTAGAACTAAAGACATACACCACCATGCCCAGCTAATTTTTTTTATTTTTTAGACACAGGGTCTCATTTTGTTACCAAGGCTGTTGGCTTATTTTTTAAAAACTTTTTGTAGAGACAAGGATCTCACTATGTTGCTTAGGCTGGTCTCGAACTCCTGGGTTTGAGCAATCCTCCTGCCTTGGCCTCCCGAAGTGCTGGGATTACAGGCATGAGCCACCACACCTGGTCTGGAAAAAAAAGTCTGCACCAAGATCTTCACAATGGGTGTTTTAGGTAGTAGGAGTCCGGATGACTTTGTTTTCTCTTTGCTTAACTTTTCTTTCTTTCTTATAATGAACATGAATTACATGTGCAATTAAAAACATACATAGGCCGGGCGCGGTGGCTCAAGCCTGTAATCCCAGCACTTTGGGAGGCCGAGGTGGGTGGATCACGAGGTCGAGAGATCGAGACCATCCTGATCAACATGGTGAAACCCCGTCTCTACTAAAAATACAAAAAATTAGCTGGGCATGGTGGCACGTGCCTGTAATCCCAGCTACTCAGGAGGCTGAGGCAGGAGAATTGCCTGAACCCAGGAGGCGGAGGTTGCGGCGAGCCGAGATCGCGCCATTGCACTCCAGCCTGGGTAACAAGAGCAAAAACTCCGTCTCAAAAAAAAAAAAAAAAAAAAAACAAAAAAAAAACAAAAAAAAATACATAGTTTTTAAAGTAGGCGTCTGGTTTCTTTGATCTTCTTCACCGTCACTGCTCTCTCCCTCTTTGCCTTAGATGGTGTTGTGTTGGTGGATCCTGATCTCCTGAAGGGAAAGAAAGGTGAGATAAAACCCCTTGCCTCAGGCTGGGTTCTGGCCGGAGTGGGCTGCTCTCTGGGTGACTCTGAGAAGGAGCATTTACATGGAAGGAGACGGGAAGGCAGAGGCAGTGCTCCTGCACGTGGAACCAGTGTCAGGCCCGTTGACCCACATTCCTGCCTAATTCACTCCACCTAGGTCCTGTTGACACCAGAGCTCACTGGCTCAGCAAAGTCACTGTCCAGGGTGGCAGATAAGTAGATGGTAGACGGAGCCCAGGTCTGTGGCTCCATCCCTGTGTGCTCGCCCCTGTGTCATGGACGTTCGTGCTAGGGGTAAACTCAGGGGGGCACCTAGGTGGTTTTATCCAAAAAGGGGGAAATGATGCCTGCTGGGAGGCAGGGGGAGTAAGACCCAGAAGGGGTGAACCAGTGTCACGGCGCCCTTGAAGCTTTCTGGCAGTTTTGATGTGTGTGGTAAGTAATTTGTTACTAATAACAGTTGCGTAAACCAAATTAGAACAGATTCCAACTACCCTTGTGATAATGTCACTGACTCAGTTCCATTCTAAATATGCCTTTTTGTGTGTTGCTACTGGCAACGTGAAGGAATTGTTTAGAACTTCGGATGTGCCACTGGAATATGTCCGCGGTGGGGCCGTCAGCACGGAGGGGCATGGCCAAAATGGGGCCCCAAACAGCCCCTCTGTCCTCTCCACCTTCCTCCTGGGTGCCCTGCTCCTCTCTGGACCAGGAGGTGTCTGGTTTGAGCCCCAAAAGCTCATGCCCTTGACCAGAGAAGGGTGCCTGTTCTCAGGGAAAGCCACTGCACAGGACAGCTGTCAACCCAGGTTGTCTCTGGCACCTTCTTCACCCTGACCTTGAATGAGGGGCCAGTGAGTGGGCAGTGTTTCTTCTGAGTCAGCGGCAAGGGGCAGTTACTTTTGGGGCTGACAGGCAAAATTCTCAACCAGCGGCTACCACTCACTTGGAGGGGCCACTTCTGATGTGTTATATTTGAAAAATACACACTTTGTGTCTTTTTTAGAAGGTGTAGTGAACTCCCATACAATTTTTTTTTTTTTTTTTTTTTTTTTGAGATCGAGTCTCACTCTGTTGCCCATGTTGGGGTGCAGTGGTGTGATCTCGGCTCACTGCAACCTCTGCCCCCCGGGCTCTAGCGATTCTCCTGCCTCAGTCTCCTGAGTAGCTGGGATTACAAGTGTGCGCCACCACGCCCAGCTAATTTTTGTGTTTTTAGTAGAGATGGTGTTTCACTATGGTAGCCAGGATGGTCTCGATCTCTTGACCTTGTGGTCCACCAAAGTGCTGGGATTGTAGGTGTGAGCCACGACGCCTGGCTAGAGCTTCCATACAATTCTTTTGGTCCATTAGGCATGCCCTTTAAGTCTATTCCGCAAGTGGAATTTTCAGAAGTGGGGATTTGGAGAATGCTCAGTACATTTCAGAGCAGTGTGAGAAGGAGGCTGAAACTCGAGCCTTCTCAACTTGGATTTCACCTCCCCACGTGGCCTGTGAGCCTTTCTGGCTCCTCGCTCAGCCCACGATTGACTCTGGCACACATCTGCTTTGCTGCCCGGCACTGTTTCCCTCTGCGTCTTAGCTTCTTCCTTCACTCATCCAGACATCCTGCCCTCCGGAACCTGAGAAGCCAGAGCCATCTCAAAGCCTCTGAGGCCACAGAGCTAGGGAATGAAGGGGGTGGGCAGGACGGAGGGGGCCGTGACCTCTGTCTGCAGATTCACACCATCCTGGCAACGCAATGCCGTTGGGAGGAAGATGCCTCCCAGTCCTCCAGGATCCCCCGTGAGAGCAGTGAACCCTCACGAAGGGGCTGGTTCTCCAGAGCAGTGTGGAGTACTTGGGTGGCAGGGTTCTCTCCAGTCCCATCCCCTGTCCCCTCCAGATGCTAAAGGTTGCAGACCCATGCCCGCTGCCCACTCCATCGGTGGTAGTGGGTGGCAGGCCGAGGGGCGAAGACTGATCCTGCCTTCATCTCCTTTGCAGTGTACGTCACTCTGACCTGCGCCTTCCGCTATGGCCAGGAGGACATTGACGTGATCGGCCTGTCCTTCCGCAGGGACCTGTACTTCTCCCGGGTCCAGGTGTACCCTCCCGTGGGGGCTGCGAGCACCCCCACAAAACTGCAAGAGAGCCTGCTGAAAAAGCTGGGGAGCAACACGTACCCCTTTCTGCTCACGGTGGGTGACTCCCCGGCCCGGCCCTGCTTCCTTCACCCCCAGCACCTTATCATGTGGATGGGGGCAAAGGGAAGGGAACAGAGGAAGGACGTCACGTCTGCGGGCCTGGAAATTGCACCCTTGAAAGAAATGCTAGATTGCATGGTCTGTGATTGTCTTTTTTTAAGTCCTTGAAAATAGCCTGTCAGCCTTTGAAGACACCCTTTCAACCTACCGTTTACATATTTCCCTTGACCCGACCCCCTAATTACATGAGCACGTGTTACTCCTTTGCTTGCTAAGCTCTAAAAGGAAAGCTCACAGAAGTGCCTCTCGCTGGCCTGGGGAGTTCCAAGCAGGAAAGGGTCCCTTACGAGACAGGAGAGCTTAGTGAAGTAAAGCACCACCTTTTTCCTTGCCCACAGCTTGGGGGCATCACAGGAGATACACCCCTTCATCCCTCTGGAGGCCCGTCTCATCCATTGAGACCTGGCTACCAACGGTGCCAGTGTGCAAACTCTCTGAAGTCTTGGGTGTGAGCTCAGTTGGAGAAGCTACCATCCCCTTTACAAGCATGTTTATTTGTCTTAACAGCATGTACACTTCCAAAGTTACATGGTTCAGCCTTAAAAAGGAATGAGCCATGTGCTACACCAGGGATGAACCTTGAATACATTATACTACATGAAAGGACCCAGACACAAAAAGACAAATACCATATGGTTTCACTTTTAGGAGATACCTGGAGTAATCAGATTCATACAGACAGAGACAGAATACAGCTTCCCACAGGCTAGGGGGATGGAGGATGGGGAGTTGCGGTTTAATGGGAACAGAGCTTCAGACTGGGATGATGAAAAAGTTCTGGTGAGCGATAGTGCTGATTATCGCAGGATTGCATGAATGTACTCAATACCAATGAACTGTACGGTTAAAATAGCTTGAATGGTAGATTTGGTGTTATTCTATGTTTATCAAAACTGTTTTACAAAATCACATTTACAAAAAAGTTATATGGTCCCAGGGGCTCCCATGTACTTGCGCTGAGAGTTTGAAGTGGCGTTACCTTTTAGAGACAATATGTCGATGTGTATTGAAAATCTTAAAAAGTGTGCTTCTCTTTCTAGCAATGCAGCTTATGAAATTAATTGGCTAAAACTGATTTATTTATTTATTTATTTATTTTTTTGAGACGGAGTTTCGCTCTTGTTACCCAGGCTGGAGTGCAATGGCGCGATCTCGGCTCACTGCAACCTCCGCCTCCTGGGTTCAGGCAATTCTCCTGCCTCAGCCTCCTGAGTAGCTAGGATTACAGGCACGAGCCATCATGCCCAGCTAATTTTTTGTATTTTTAGTAGAGACAGGGTTTCACCAAGTTGACCAGGATGGTCTCGATCTCTTGACCTCGTGATCCACCCGCCTCAGCCTCCCAAAGTGCTGGGATTACAGGCTTGAGCCACCACGCCCGGCTAAAACTGATTTATTATAGCATTGTTTATAATAACAAAAAAACTAAAGCCCACTTAAGTAGCCAGCAAAAGGGACTGGCTACATTAAATGTATAGAGAGCCCTAAAAAGGATGATTCAGAACTGTATTTGATGATGTGGAAAAATGGCCACGATGCTTTCTGAAAAAGGCGAGTTAATGATGCGAATAAACAGACTACAGGACATGCCCATCCCTTGGTCCCATTTCTGTAAAATGTCTTCCCACATATACATATCTGTGTGTGTGGCAAGGCAAGGTGGCTCACGCCTGTAATCCCAGCACTTTGGGAGGCTGAGGTGGGTGGATTACTTAAGATCAGGGGTTTGAGACCAGCCTGGGCAACGTGGTGAAACCCCATCTCCGGCAAAAATACAAAAATTAGATGAGCGTGGTGCTGTGTGCCTGTAATCCCAGCTACTTGGGAGACTGAGACATGAGAATTGCTTGAACCCGGGAGACAGAGGTTGTAGTGAGCCAAGATTGTGCCACTGCATTCCAGCCTGGGTGACAGAGTAAGACTCCGTCTCCAAACAAAACATCTATTTATGTGTACAGCAGGAAACTTTGGGAAGGTTATGTTAGCAACGTCTATTTGGGTGTTAAGAGTTTAGGTGAATGTGTTTTTTCTTTTTTCTTGCTTTATTTTCTAATTTTTACATGGTGATTCTATATTACTCATGGAACAGACCCCTCTGAAATAAATGTTTCTTTCCACAGTTTCCTGACTACTTGCCCTGTTCAGTGATGTTGCAGCCAGCTCCACAAGACACAGGGAAGGTTAGTTCAAGAAGAAATGCTATGGGTTTATGGATTTGCTCATTCCTTCAATAGCCTTTTTAAAAACAAAACAACAACAACAACAACAACAAAAAAAAAACACGGGGTTTTACGTTGGGCACGGTGGCTCAAGCCTGTAATCCCAGCACTTTGGAAGGCCGAGGCGGGTGGATCACGAGGTCAAGAGATCGAGACCATCCTGGTCAACATGGTGAAACCCTGTCTCTACTAAAAATACAAAAAAAAAAATTAGCTGGGCATAGTGGCGCGTGCCTGTAACCCCACCTACTCAGGAGGCTGAGGCAGGAGAATTGCCTGAACCCAGGAGGCGGAGGTTGCGGTGAGCCGAGATCGCGCCATGGCACTCCAGCCTGGGTAACAAGAGTGAAATTCTGTCTCAAAAAAAAAAAAAAGAAAAAAGAAAAAAAACAGGGTTTTACTCTGTCGCCCATGCTGGGGGGCAGTGGCATGATCTGGGCTCACTGCAACCTCTGCTTCCTGGGCTCAAGCAATTCTCCAGCCTCAGCATCTCGAGTAGCTGGGCCTACAGGTGCCACCACGCCCAGCTAGTTTTTGTATTTTTCGTAGAGATGGGGTTTTACCACGTTGACCAGGCTGGTCTCAAACTCCTGATCTCAAGTGATTCGCCTGCCTTGTTCTCCCAAAGTGTTGGGATTGCAGGTGTGAGCCGCCACGCTGACTCCTTCAACAGACTTCTAAAGATAGCTTTTTATCATGGAAAATTTCAAACATACCCAAAAGTAGAGTGATCAGCGTAAAGATCGTCTAGGAACGCATCATTTGTGTTCAGCAATTACTAACCATCAACATCGTTGTGAACAAAATCACAGAGACTCGACCCCCAGGAGTCTCACGCATTAACCGAGGGCCCCAGGCAAGACCCAAATAACAAGTAACGACCTGGCACGTCAGGTGGCCACAGATGCTGTGGAGAGCAAGAGGCTTGTGAGAGACAAGGGGCATATGTGGCAATATGTGTGTTGAGGGTGGTTAAAGAAGGCCTGTAATTAGGCAAAGAGGAAAGCCACAGTCTCCCAGGGGAGAGCCTTCCAGGTAGAGGGTGCACCTCACCTGGTATTCCGGGGGCAGTGAGGAGGCTGCCTGCTGAGTGAGAGGGGCAAGGGATGGAAGGGAAGGTCAAGTGCAGTAGCTCAGGCCTGGCGTCCCAGCATTTTGGGAGGCTGAGGCAAGTGAATCAACCCAGGAGTTCAAGACCAGCCTGGGAAACATGATGAGACCCCATCTCTACGAAAAATACAAAAATTAGCCAGGCTTGGTGGCATGTGCCTGTAGTCCTAGCTACTTGGGAGGCTGAGGTGGGAGGATCACTTGAGCTCTGGAGGCAGAGGCTGCAGTGAACTGTGATCGTGCCACTGCACTGCGTGATAGAGTGAGGTGATAGAGTGAGGCCGTGTCTCAAAAACCAACAAACAAAAAAAGAAAGTGGAAAACTGAGGTCAGAGTGGAAGGGGAGGTGTGGCCAGATCCTGAAGGCCCTTGTAGATGTCATGGAGACTTGGGTTTTTGCCTGAATGAGATGGGAGCCATTGGCAGGCTGTGAATGACAGGTTCTGACTTTCTGAACGGTCCCTATGGCCACAGAGGTTGAGAATGGAGTTGAGTTGGCCAAGCATGTGCTGTGGGGGCTGAGGGTGTGTGAGAGAGGAGTGAACCCGGTGGACGGGGCTCCGGGGGGACAGGAGGAGAGGGAGGTGCCAGGACTCATGGGTTCGGGCCCTGTAAGCCACTGGGATCTGGGATTCCTGAGGAAGGGAGCCACACAGATACAACTGAGGGCAGAGTGGCAGGTTCTGTAACTGGATTATGGGATGGGCAGTGATAGGTGATGACAAGTCAGTGTTTTTATCGTGGGGCATCTGACCCATTAGTGGCTTGTGAAATCAATGTAGTGGATCTGAAATGGCATTTTTTAAAAAATGGAATGTAATGGAACGGAATGGAATATAACGGAACAGAACGTAATGGAATGGGATGGAATAGAACAGGCTGGCCGCAGTGGTTCACGCCTGTAATCCCAGCACTTTGGGAGGCCAAGACAGGCAGATCAGATCATCTGAGGTCGGGAGTTTGAGACCAGCCTGGCCAACGTGGCAAAACCCCGTCTCTACTACAAATACAAAAATTAGTCAGGCATGGTGGCAGGTGCCTGTAATCCCACCTACTCAGGAGGCTGAGGCAGGAGAATTGCTTGAACCCGGGAGGTGGAGATTGCAATGAGCCAAGATTGCGCTCCTGCACTCCAGCCTGGGCAACAAAGCAAGACTCCGCCTCAAAAAAACCCACAAAAATTAGCTAGGCATGGTGGTGCACACCTGTAATCCCAGCTACTCAGGAGACTGAGGTAGGAGAATTGCTCGAATCTGGGAGGTGGGGGTTGCATTGAACTAAGATAGTGCCACTACACTCCAGCCTGAGTGACAGCAAGACCCCATCTCAAAAAAAAGAGAACAAAATGGAAAGGATCGGAAAATCTCAGAATGCGTTACATATGGGGAAGCTGAATATGGTGTCAGGAGAGTTGTTTCATGTGTGTGTCTGTTTACAGGGCTATGTTGTGAATCCAACTTTCAAAACGTCTCAAAGCTACTGTTCCAAGAAAACAGGGTGGGGTATGGGCAGCCAAGACAGGGGAAAACGAGGTGATTGTAGAAGAGGGGGGCAGAGAACAATGAGGATGCGATTGGTTGTGTTAGATCTTACAGTGCTCTATAAGAGAGACTGCAGATTCAGATTTTTAGGTGAGCTTTCTTGATTTTTACAACACTGTATGGGCCTAACGAAGCACCACCTGTTTCCTCTTCTAAGCGAGGAGAGGTCTTAGCGCAGCTGCAGGGCTTCAGGAAACAGGGTCCGTCCTGGGCCCAGGGAGCTTGAGAGAAGTGCCTGGATGCCTGGGGGCCCTTTGCCCTGGGGCTTGAAAACTACATAGGAATTTGTCAAAGCTATCTATCCTCTCTCTGTGTGTGTGTGTGTGTGTGAGAGAGAAGAGAGAGAGAGAGAGAGAGAGAAAGAGAAGTGTTTCAGAAGGAAGGCACAGCCTATACTTGGGCATGAAAGAGGACAGCTTTTGCAGGAGCAGCATTGAAGGAGGTTGGGGAGGGCAGGTGGCGAGCAGAACAGGCACTAATGTGGCTGAACAATGGCCGGCTAATGGCAGGGAAGGATGCCTATTTATTTTTTCTTTTTCTTTTTTTTTGTGACGGAGTCTCGCTCTGTCACCCAGGCTGGAGTGCAGTGGTGCCTTGGCTCACTGCAACCTCTGCCTCCCGGGCTCGAGCAATTCTCCTGCCTCAGCCTCCAGAGTAGCTAGAATTATAAGTGCCCACCACCGTGCCCAGCTAAATTTTGTATTTTTAGTAGAGATAGGGTTTCATTATGTTGGCCAGGCTGGTCTCAAACTCCTGACCTCGTGATCCACCTGCCTCAGCCTCCCAAAGTGCTGGGATTACAGGTGTGAGCCCCTGCGCCCAGCTGCATATTCATTTTCAACCTAGAGTTTAGGACTTCTATGATTCCCTGGTTGCAGAACCAATAAATCTGTTCCTCATATGTCACATGGACAGAGCTGGGTTCCCGTAATTTTTGCCAGCTCTACTTTCCCTCCTGGCAATGGTGGAGGGCAGGCTGGTGCCCTCCTCTGGCTCCCCAATGCCTGTGAAGGTGCAGAGATGAGGGAAGTTACAGAGGGCTTGCACAGGGGGCCAGGGGCTGGAAATTGGGGGAAGGTCACTGGCAGATGCATTTGTTCAACTCATGCAATGCTTAAGTCTTTTTATTTAGTTAATTTAAAAATTAGGAGATTTCACTCCGAATTCCATGTTCGGCTTCCTTTTAAAAAATTGAGCCAGCCAGACGCGTGGCTCAAGCCTGTAATCCCAGAACTTTGGGAGGCCGAGGCGGGTGGATCACAAGGTCAAGAGATCGAGACCATCCCGGTCAACATAGTGAGACCCTGTCTCTACTAAAAATACAAAAAAAAATTAGCTGGGCATGGTGGCACGTGCCTGTAATCCCAGCTACTCAGGAGGCTGAGGCAGGAGAATTGCCTGAACCCAGGAGGCGGAGGTTGCGGTGAGCCGAGATCGCGCCATTGCACTCCAGCCTGGGTAACAAGAGTGAAACTCTGTCTCAAAAAAAAAAAAAGAAAAAAAAAATTGAACTGGTCAGGCACAGTAGCTCACACCTGTGATCCCAGCACTTTGGGAGACCCAGGTAGGTGGATCATGAGGTCAGGAGTTCGAGACCAGCCTGGCCAACATAGTGAAACCCTGTCTCTACTAAAAATACAAAAATTAGCTGGGCGTGTTGGTGTGCGCCTCTGATCCCAGCCACGCAAGAGGCTGAGGCAGGAGGATTGCTTGAATCTAGGTGGCAGAGGTTGTGGTGAGGCAAGATCATGCCACTGCACTCCAGCCTGGGCAACAGAGGGAAACTCTGTCTTTAAAAATAAAAAAATCAAGCTGCCAGCACTGGGTGCCCTTGCTGCCTGGCCACGTGAGGCTGCCGCTGAACAGCAGGTGACCTGGGGGTCAGGGTTTCCATACCCTATCAGGGCATTCCTGGACCCCCATGCTGGCCCTGTGAGTGCCTGTTCCTCTGGCTCCTGCTGTAGGCAGAAGTCAGTAACGTTCACGGGGACACAGCTGGGGACACCTAAGTGTGCAAAGTGGCAGGAGGCAAGGACAGCCAGGCTGCGAGGGACTCTCCACAGCAGTAGGAGGTTCACGGGGCAGGTGGATCCCCTCTCTCTGGGGGCTTTGGGCCAATGGCACCCTCCCCGTGCTACTGTCATTGTTTCACTGTTAGTACGCTCCCAAATCCCTAAATGGTCCCGCCCTGGATAGGACATGGCCAAGACAAAAAGACAGTGCCACATCATGTGGCCTGCGGGAGGTGTGGCCCCCTGGCCCGGCACCCAGGGACGGAGGCGCTTCTCACTGCCTGTCTGCTCTCTCTCCCCAACAGTCCTGTGGGGTTGACTTCGAGGTCAAAGCATTTGCCACAGACAGTGCCGATACCGAAGAGGACAAAATCCCCAAGAAGTAAGAGCGTGGCTGCGGAATAGGTGGGGTGCAGGTGGAGAGAATGGACCGCCCCCACCTTGTCTCTGTGGGACAGAACTCTTCCCACAGGGCTGGCATGGCTGGGGTACCATCTGCGTGTGGGGTAGAGGTCAAAGGTTGATCATTTTGGGAGAAAATAAAAAAACAAGAAAATGACAGGGAAGGGCCGGGCGCGGTGGCTCAAGCCTGTAATCCCAGCATTTTGGGAGGCCGAGGCGGGTGGATCACGAGGTCGAAAGATCGAGACCATCCTGGTCAACATGGTGAAACCCCGTCTCTACTAAAAATACAAAAAACTAGCTGGGCGTGGTGGTGCGTGCCTGTAATCCCAGCTACTCAGGAGGCTGAGGCAGGAGAATTGCCTGAGCCCAGGAGGCGGAGGTTGCGGTGAGCCGAGACCGCGCCATTGCACTCCAGCCTGGGTAACAAGAGCGAAACTCCGTCTCAAAAAAAAAAAAAAAAAGAAAAGAAAATGACAGGGAAGGTAGCAACCTCCAGGGTTCATGCAAGCCCCTAAAAGCTTCCAGGTTTCCCTCCTTTTTTTTTTTGGTTTCTTTGTGTGCGTGTGTGTGGTAAAATGTACACAACATGAAGTTTGCCATTTTAACCATTTTTTTTCTGAAATTTTATTTCTTCTAAAAGGTATTTTTTGTTTTGTTTTGTTTTTGTTTTCGTTTTTGTTTTTTAGATGGAGTCTCACTGTGTTACCCAGGCTGGAGTGCAGTGGTGCGATCTCAAGTCACTGCAACCTCTGCCTCCCAGGTTCAAGCGATTCTCCTGCCTCAGCCTCCCAAGTAGCTGAGATTACAGGCATCCCCACCACACCCAGCTAATTTTTTTTTTTTTTTTTTTTTTTTTTTTTTTTTTTTTTTTTTTTGAGACAGAGTTTCGCTTTTGTTACCCAGGCTGGAGTGCAATGGTGCGATCTCGGCTCACCGCAACCTCCACCTCCTGGGTTCAGGCAATTCTCCTGCCTCAGCCTCCCGAGTAGCTGGGATTACAGGCACGCGCCACCATGCCCAGCTGATTTTTTGTATTTTTAGTTGAGACGGGGTTTCACCATGTTGACCAGGATGGTCTCGATCTCTTGACCTTGTGATCCACCCACCTTGGCCTCCCAAAGTGCTGGGATTACAGGCGTGAGCCACCGTGCCCGGCCCTAATTTTTGTATTTTTAGTAGAGATAGTATTTCACCATGTTGGCCAGGATGGTCTTGAACTCCTGACCTCAAGTGATCCACCTGTCCCGGCCTTCCAATGTGATGGGATTATAGGCGTGAGCCACTGCGCCCAGCCCATTTTAACCACTTTTAAATGTACCATTCAGTGGCTTAAGTACATTCTGAGTGTTGTGTAGCCGTGACCGATGTCTATACCCAAAAATTACCCATTGCCCCAAGCAGGAACTCTACAGCCATTAAGCCTACCCCCAGTCCCTCCCGTCCTCCCAGACCCTGGTACTGCTTTCTTTTTTTACATAAACAAGATTTCTGCCTGGCCTCCACACTGTCCCCTCATGCCCCACGTACACATCTCTGGAGGCTCGGGATAGTCCGCTGTAGTCGTGGAGCTCGCATGTATATGGCGGCTGTTCCATGAGGCCCTTGACGCCCTCACATCTCAGCCTGGCTGAGAGAGGCAGAGCCGGGAACCCATGGAGCCTAAGAGGCTAAGCTTGGCCCTCAGGACATTGCCTGGCCCCCACATCCCACAAGCTATGGGATCCCAGGGAAAGGATCTGGAACCAGACCCCCAGGCTCTCCTGCCATCGGGGCTGCCTCAGGCTCTGACCAGCATGCCTGCCCTCCTCCCGTCCACCCTGTCTTCATGGGGAGTGTTCCTGGAGCATCCCCGTGTGATGTGGGGACAGAACAGAGGTCTCCCTGAAGCTGTCTGGGTGTGAATGTCTTGCTTGTCTGTACTGTTCCCTGCAGGAGCTCCGTGCGATTGCTGATCCGCAAAGTACAGCATGCCCCACTTGAGATGGGTCCCCAGCCCCGAGCCGAGGCGGCCTGGCAGTTCTTCATGTCTGACAAGCCCCTCCACCTTGCCGTCTCTCTCGGCAAAGAGGTAACCAGCTCCCATCGCTAGTCCCCCCAGGGCAGCCAGCCTCGGGGAAGCCCCACACGCCTCTCTCCACCAGCCCCAGACCCTAACTACATGGGGGCCTTGCAAGGAAGCTTGTTTCTAGGATAGTTAAAGCACCAACATGTGTAAGTTGTGGGCCTGTTTTCACAGCCTGGAGCTGGTCACCATGGTCCTTAGAGAGGGTGGAACTGGCTTTCATTCTACCCATTGGCTGTCCCGAGGGACTGCAGAAGGAAGGGGCGGTGTCTTCCACATGTCTGCCCCAGCCATCTTTGCCCTCTCCACCCCATGGGCCTCGTTCACCAATGGAACATCAGTAGCTGTGGTATCCCAAATTCTTTACTTCCTGGGAAATTTAAGTTTCGTAGAAACCACGTGGGACGGTGGTGTCTGCGAGATCATCTCTTTGGGGTGTCATGGTGGGAAAAGGTGGGAGCTGCTGGCCGAGGCTGACTCTGATTCCTCTAGTCAGCAGTCAGCGTATGTGCACTGTGTGTATGTACAGTGTGCGGGTGTGCCCATCGGGGCTGAGTACACGGGCTCTGCTGGGTGGCACACCAGCACTTGGCTCTCCCAGTGGTTTCCTTTCACTTCACTCGTCCTGCCCCCAGAACCCCCTGACCCCTGGCCTCCTCTGATGTGACTGACGTTCAGAACTCCGTTCCCCTCCCCAGCTTCCCACCGGTGGGCAGAATGTGTTTCAGGCCCTTCCTCAGAAGAAACGAATGACTGTCACTTCATCTGCCTTAAATCCCCTTGCTTTTATTCTAGTGAAAGGGATTGAGATGAATCTAGAAAGCTGTGAGATTAAAGACACCACCACAGCTATTCTCTTCTTCTGACCTGTCTGCTGACTTTTCCAGATCTATTTCCATGGGGAGCCCATCCCTGTGACCGTGACTGTCACCAACAACACGGAGAAGACAGTGAAGAAGATTAAAGCATTCGGTAGGACCTTCTTCTCAAAAGTAGAGGGCAGAGTCTCCTAGAATTTCTGATCCTGTTTCCTGAGGGGTTGCTTCTCTGGTCTGATAAGGCCCTTCTGGGTCCTTGGAACTGTCTCTGCTATGATAGGCAGCAGGACTGCAGAGGGAGAAAGACCTTCCCTGTTTTCTCATTCAACTTCCTGCCCACTTAGACTGGCTCTTGTCGTGGAACAAAATTCCTGACAAGTGATCTCTTTCCATGGTCATGCCTTCCTGCAGGGGCCCAACAGTCATCATTGTCGTGGACAGGTGCCACACAGTGTTGTGGGTCAGGCCTAATTTGTGGGCTCATGCTGTGGGCTCTGCAGTCCTAGCTGGCATCCTCAGCAGGGGCTCCTCACCTGTCTTCTAAGGCTTTGTGCGGCTCTAAGGAGAGGTTCCATGTGGAAGCGCTTTGTAAATGGTGAAGTGTGACTGTCTCACCTCCAGTGGCCATCATGTCTGGCCGACCTTGCCATATCCTGCAGGGAAGGCGCCTCCTGCCTGCTGTTCCCACATGCTTCCTCAGCTCAAAGGGCATCAAAGCACAGGGATCTTAGCTGATGGTCTTACATGGCTCTTTCATGAGAAAGACATGATGAAATGACCTGTGAGGGTAACCTCTAAGTTCAATTTTTAACTCAAACATTCGATGACCAAGACAGTTAGACTTACACATCTTGGGTTGACAAACTGTCCAGGTAGTCCAGGACTGAGGACGTGGAGCTTCCAGTCCTAAAATGGGCTATCCCAGGCAAGCCAGGATAAGCAGTGGGCCTGGGTGTTATATACCACTTTTCTCTTTCCCTGTGAGTCCATCATAGATGAGGTTCAGAAATTCTGATATGCGCCGGGTGCGGTGGCTCACACCTGTAATCCCAGCACTCTGGGAGGCCGAGGCAGGCAGATCATCTGAAGTCAGGAGTTCGAGATCAGCCTGGCCAACATGAAGACAGGTTCGAGAAACCCTGTCTCTACTAAAAGTACAAAAATTAGCCGGGCATGGTGGCAGGTGCCTGTAATCCCAGCTACTCAGGAGGCGGAGGCAGGAGAATTGCTTGAACCCGGGAGGCAGAGGTGGCAGTGAGCCAAGATGGCACAATTGCACTCCAGCCTGGGCAACAAGAGTGAGACTCCATCTCAAAAATAAAAAATAAAGTGCAGTCTTGAAGCCGAGGGCTGAGAAAGCCAAGCCTGGGAAGTGGAGGGAAACCATCATCAGGGAGGCAGCGAGAGCAGTGTGTCCCCTGGGAGGCCGCAGGGTGCACGAATGGCAGCGGCGGGGGTGGGGGACCAGCACTGACCCCCGATTCCCGTCTTCCTTTGCAGTGGAACAGGTGGCCAATGTGGTTCTCTACTCGAGTGATTATTACGTCAAGCCCGTGGCCATGGAGGAAGCACAGTGAGTAGCTTGTTGGGTTTCCGTTTCCTGGGTGGCTCAGCCCTCTGTGTCACGTTCCTCACCGTTTATTGCTGAAGAGGGAACTAGAATGTTCAGCTAGCCCGCCAGCCTTCCACTTCCTTCCTCTTTCTCCCTTCGAGGGCTGCACAGAAAGTTAGCATCTCAGCTCTGCGTCTAACACACCCCTCTGTGCCTGTCTCACGGGAGTGCTGAGGATTAATCCAAGCTAAAGAATGACGCAGAGGAGGAAATAAAGACGGAGATGTCACCATGGGATCCGCTGGCCTTTTCTGTTTATCCTTGGAATGAATTGTTAGGAATTTGATACTATCCCCACCTTCCAGAAGATGGTCAAATAAACTGTCAACCCAGGCTGGGGTTCCCTATCTTTGATCTCAAATTGAAAATCTGATACCAGTGACAGCTGGGTTAGAATGTACCCATTCTTAGCTGGTTGTTGTGAGTGACTTTTGCCCCTTTGTCAGAAGCAAAAAGAAATGAGAATCCTGCCATGGTCCCTTCATGCTGGCCTGAGAGACGTGCTCAGCTTTGCTGTGTGCCACAACGTCAAACAGACTCATTCAATACATGGCTTGAGGTGGGGGGCGATGACCCCCTGTGCCCCACTTCCAGCCCCGCAAGAGGACAGCTTGAGCAGGTCTTTCCTCTTTGCCTTGCTGGCGTGTTCTAAGCAACATTGTATGTAAAAAATATTAGCACGGTTAGGGGAAGGTTAGGGTAGGGGAGTGATGAAAGACAAACTGATTCTTTTTTTTTTTTTGAGACGGAGTTTCCGCTCTTGTTGCCCAGGCTGGAGTGCAATGGCGCGATCTCGGCTCACCGCAACCTCCGCCTCCCGGGTTCAGGCAATTCTCCTGCCTCAGCCTCCTGAGTAGCTGGGACTACAGGCACCCGCCACCACGCCCAGCTAATTTTTTTTGTATTTTTAGTAGAGGGGGGGTTTCACCATCTTGACCAGGATGGTCTCGATCTCCACCCACCTCGGCCTCCCAAAGTGCTGGGATTACAGGCTTGAGCCACCGCGCCCGGCGACAAACTGATTCTTTAAGGTAATATAAGGTAATAGATGTATATTTTTTTGAGATGGAGCCTTATTCTGTTGCCCAGGCTGGAGTGCAGTGGTGACGTCTCGGCTCACTGCAACCTCCACCTCCCAGGTTCAAGCCATTCTCTTGCCTCAGCCTCCCAAGTAGCTGGGATTACAGGCACCTGTTACCATGCCTGGCTAATTTTGTATTTTTAGTAGAGACTGGGTTTCACCTGTTGGTCAGGCTGGTCTCAAACGCCTCATCTCAGGTGATCCACCTGCCTCAGCCTCCAAAAGTGCTGGAATTACAGGTATGAGCCACCGCACCTGGCCTATATGGTAATGTTTAACAAGCAACTTTAGGAGAAAATATTACTGTTACTCAAAACAGATTCAACCTTAAGTTGAAACATAGGTCTATGAGGGAGAAAACTGGAAAGAACTGCCACCCATTATCTCCTCTCGGCCACGCCTGGGCTCTGTTCAGCCTTTAGGGCATCCTCGCACATCCCTGTGCCCTGGGGGTCTTGGGCCCGGTTCCTCTTTGCACATATGCTCAGCAACAAGGGAGCAAAGGGGCCTGGCCGAGTTTTCCCCTAATATATATTCCATCACTTGGCCCTCTTTCATTTCTTCTCCTTCTTTTTTTTTTTTTTTAATTATTCTGTTACCTCCAGTGACGTGTATAAGCAAACTTGGTCCTCTTTCAAAGTGTTGGGTGCATTTGGGGGTCAATGATACCCAGGAAACTGGAAAGCATCTCAAAGGCCCCCAAAGGCTGGAGGAGCCTGGGAGCTGGACTGGACACCTGATGAGTGTCAGGCTGGAGGCCACTACTGACAAAGCTGCAGAGCAGGGACCATCGTCCCTGAGCCCAGTGGCTCCTGGGGCTTTGGTGGGCAGGCTTCCATGGATCCAGGTTAGACCTGACTCCCAAGCTGTCCCCACCATCCAAACCCACATCCTGAAGCTCTGGGAAGTGGCCCCAGGGCCTTGGCATAGTCCTTTGGCAAGCTCTGCACAAGAGAAAAGGCCATCCTCTGAGCCAACTCTTCCCATTTCAGTCATCTTCACAATGCTGTTTCTGCTTTTCTCAATGCCCAAATTATGCTCATAAGGAGAGGTTCCACCAGGACCCAGATGGGAGAATGTGGCCACCTTGGGCTCTGGCAGATTTTTGTGAAGAGCTTCCAGGATACGGGACGGCTGCTTTTACCTATCCAGAGTAACTTGATTAGGGAGGGGAATCCTTTCCCGGAGAGGCAGTTCAGACTTCTAGCTGTCTCAGAACAGCCTTAGAATGGTCCTGATGCTAGCCACACCCCACCTGCTTCTGGCCAGGCATGGGATGAGGGCGTGCTTCTGGCACGAATGGGCTCTGTCGTCCGAGAGTGTGCAGCCATATGACCGTGGGCACACTTCCTGTCTGGAAAACGGGGATCTTGGGAGAACTTTCTTGGTATGGGGTTGATGAGGGTAAGGTGGGAGTGTTTGAGGACAGGCCTTAGCACCAGGCCTGGCACACAGCACGCACGTGAACGGAAGAGCCAACTCTTCAGCGTCAGAAGCTGCTTCATGGTCCTGGCCATGCTGCCATGTGTCTGCCTGGAGAAATACATGCTGCTGTGTCCCCAGCTTGATCCCAGACCCACCCGTTGGCACAGGGTCCCTGCCATCTGTCAGATGTTGAGAAATCTACAGCCTGACTAATGATGAAGAAGATCCAGTAGAGAAAAAGCATGTGCTGCTTTAGACCCAAGCTAGTCGGTCTGTGTCAGCCACAAATTGTGGGTCGCTGCATTGCCCCTCTAGACAACTTACCACACAGTCACACTGTGACCCCCTTATAGGGACAGTTTTTGGTAACAAGAGGCTTCCTGGCCCTGGCTTGTTGCTGACACTAACCAGAAGGTTTTGCAGGCCACCGGATGGTTCACAGAGTCTCAGGAGGAAACTGTGGTCTCTGACTCTCAAGCCAGTTGGTCTCATTGACTCCATAGAACATTCTAGAAATTCGGCAATTTAGAATAGGCTGAGTTGCTTGAAGAAATATCCTCCTGTTGCTGCCAGCCCACCCTGAGATTTCACAAGCACTGTTCTGCCTCTCAAAAGGCAAGTTCTGATCTTCCCAGGAGGTCCATCAGGGATGTTGATCCTGGAAAATGCCTAATGGCACATAGGGGCTCATGGGGCCCATGGCAGCTCTTTTGATTATAAATCTCCTCTGTTCTTCCTCTAGAGAGAAAGTGCCACCAAACAGCAGTTTGACCAAGACGCTGACGCTGCTGCCCTTGCTGGCTAACAACCGAGAAAGGAGAGGTATTGCCCTGGATGGGAAGATCAAGCACGAGGACACGAACCTTGCCTCTAGCACCATGTGAGTAGTCCCGGAGGCTCAGGGAATACGCGTTGGCAGCGCGGGCCAGCGCCGGTCTGCTCCCCTTCACGTCCCCTTGCTGCGCTCACAGGCACGCACATGCAGCATGGGGGTCTGGTGTGTGCAGTACAGAGTGCACACGCACATCCTGAAGCTGGGGTCCAAACAAGGATTCCACTCTCACCCCTGGTGTGATGTGAGGGTCGCACTGTGGGCCCTGGAGACAGCTGTGCGCTAATCCCAGCTCTGCTGCTGACCCTGGGAAAGTGCCTTGAGTTCCCCTAGAACCTCAGTTTTCCTGTCTGTAAAGTGGGAGTGATAATAGTTCAAGTCTCACAGAGTGGCTATGAGGATTCAGTGAGACAATCCATGTAAAGCGTGGGGCCTGACAGACAGTGAGTGCTCTAGGAATGTCAGCTACTGCTTTCTGAAGCATAGCTAGCCGGTGTAATGCCCTAAGCACGTAAACTGAGTAATGCTCGTGGCTGTATTCATTCATTCACTCACTCAGTCATTCATCTGTGTCCATCAGGAAATGCGCAGAACAGGAGGTCCTAATCCCTTTAGGTATCCACTGAATTTAAATGATATTAAGTACTGATCTGCTGACCCTGACTCAAAGGACCACTGGCTGAATCTGGGCAGCAGATCTAGCAAAGGCTGTACAGTGAAGTTCCAAAGTCAGCGTCTACCATCCTTCCGAGCCATGTTTTTGGGCTTCCCTTCCCGGGAGTGTGTCTGTTGGTGAACTCTGAGAGTTTTGGGTTGGAGCCAAAACCCAGGCTCAAGGCCCACTCACTGCCACCTCCCCACGTGATGTGCTGGGGGTTCCCTCTGCGGCCCCGGTGGACCACCTCCAAGATGATGCCAATAGCCAGGAGGCTGGGGTGTTTGACCTCATGACCCTGACGCTCAGGAGCTAACACTCTCTGAGACCAAGAGTGAGGAACAGTGAACAATTAGCAGACAGCAGGTGGGAGTCAGAGGATTTTTCTGAGGATAATTGGCCAAGTTGTTGTGTTAGATTCTAGAGCACATTTGTGAAGCTCTGGGAGAGAGAATGTCAGGGAAGCTGAGGGCCTAGATCAACGTATTCGAAGGCATAGGAATTATATGAATGATGATGGCGCCCCATACTGCGGGAATGTTCCATTGTGTGTGGACTAGTTTCTAAACATGTTCAACTCTCCACCCCTCTGTGAGGAACATGTTTTTATATGCGTTTTATGGATAAGGAAATTGAGCTTGAGCCAGAATGAAAGACTATCCAAGGACACCGAATCAGTTGATAGCAGAGCAAAGTCCACTCCACAGCAAATCTCCCAGCTCAGGAAGCTGCCAAGGGACAAAGATTGCAGGGTGTCCTCAGGCATGTGGCAGAGCGTGTTCCGTTCGCCAGCTGCTCAGCCCCATTCAGTGCAAGGTAGAGTGAATCCCAGCCGGGGGCAGTGGCTCACACCTGTGATCCTAGCACTTTGGAAGGTCAAGGCGGGCAGATTGCTTGAACCTAGGAGTTTGAGACCAGCCTAGGCAACATGGTGAAACCCCTTCTTCACAAAAAATTAAAACATTAGCCGGGCATGGTGGCACGTGCCTGTAGTCCCAGCTATTTGAGAAGCTGAGATGCGAGGATTGCTTTAGCCCAAGAGGTTGAGGCTCCAGTGACCTATTATTGTGCCATTGCACTCTAGTCTGGGCAATAAAATGAGACCCTGTCTCAAAAATAAAAAAAAAAAAAAAAAAGAAGTCAATCCCAGCAGTAGTGGCATCTCAAACTTGTGCCCCTTTTTTCCCTTTGGAGGCATCCTCTCTTCATCAAGTCCTTGGCCACATTCTGCAAGTCCAGATAAAGATATCCTGTCCTCTTTTTTAAAAATTATTTTTATATTTTTTGAGACAAGATCTCACTCTGTCACCCAGGCTGGAGTGCAGTGGCGTGATCTTGGCTCACTGCAACCTCTGCTTCCTGGGTTCAATCAATTCTCCTGGCTCAGCCTCCTGAGTAGCTGGGATTAGAGGCTTCCGCTACCACACCTGGCAAATTTTGTACTTTTAGTAGAGATGGAGTTTCGCCATGTTGTCCAGGCTGGTTTCGAACTTCCTGAACTCAAGCGATCTGCCTGCCTCAGTCTCCCAACGTGCTGGGATTAAAGGGGTGAGCCACCACACCTGGCTATTCTGTCCTCTTTTTTTTTTTTTTTTCTGAGACAAAGTTGCGTGCTTGTTGCCCAGGCTGGAGTGTAATGGCACGATCTCGGCTCACTGCAACCTCCACCTTCCGGGTTCAAGTGATTCTCCTGCCTCAGCCTCCCAAGTAGCTGGGATTGCAGGCATATGCTATCACATCCAGCTAATTTTGTATTTTTAGTGGAGATGGGGTTTCTCCATATTGGTCAGGCTGGTCTTGAACTCCCAACCTCAAGTGATCTGCTCTGCTCAGCCTCCAAAGTGCTGGGATTAAAGGTGTGAGCCACCATGCCCGACTATTCTGTCCTCTTTTAAAGGAGCTCCAGATACCAGTGAGCCAAAGGAGCTCTCTGGGGAGCACTGTGGCCTGGAAACATGTGCCCGAGACACCTCCTCTCAGAGGCTTCCGGGTTGATGTCGCTTCCAGGCTCGGCACCTGCTGGCCACCACCCCAACTCCTTTTCCAGAGCTGTTCCACTCTCCCCTGCCTTCTGCCTATAGTCTTCAGATTTCTTGGGCCTGTTTTCTACCATTATTCACATGATTTTTGTTAGCATTTCATGATTTTTTTCATACCTTAATTTCTGTTATTGGACGTCCTGGTATACTCATGTCTTATGCTTTGGATCACACATGCTAAGCATCTGCGTTGAAATGCCCAGCATGGTGCCTGCCAGATAGTAGGACTTCAGTACCTATTCGTGGGATCTGGAATGATGTTTCTGTCAAGGAACGTCACATTGCACTGTCTTTGGGGACATGTCTGAGGCTGTCACACATCCCGCTCATTCCCTTAAACACTGACAGCTCTCACTCGGTGCCAGGTCTGATGCTGGGTGCTGGGGACACAAGGCTGGATATCTTGGAAGGCAGGAGAAAAGGAGGGGGCATTCTGGAGCTGGGTTGTGTTGGCAAGTCTGATGCGGGGGCGCTGTGACACAGTTGGGGATGAAGTAGCAAAGCCAGGTGGGGGCAGCTCATGGGTGGCTTCTGAGGCTGAAACTGCAGGTGGCTACGGAGCTCAGAGAAAGGGCCTGGCACGTGAGAGATGAGTTGGTGAGATAATCCAGGCAGGCAGAGCCTGCGGGAGGACTTGGGGGCTTGCAGAGATGGCAAGTTTTGGCAGGTGGCAGGAGGGAGGAGCCGAGAAGGATGAGTGGGGATGTACGTTTGCAGAGGTTGCGCACAGAGAAGGGGGTGCGCACAGAGAAGGGGGTGCATGCTCTGCCCTCTGGGAACTTGCAGAGGAGAAGACACAGGAATTCCTCCAGAGCATGCAAGGAATCCCCACACCCACTCCCCAGGTATGCTAACTTCTAGGACTTCGGCAGCTCAGTGAGGTCTCCAGTCCCTGGAGAGCCTCCATGACGGTGTGTCTGCCTGGAGCGGAAGGGCCGCCCATCTGCTCTTCACCCTCCTCTGCTCTCCATCATCCTCCTCCTTTTCCTTTCTGTTTGGGCAGCATTAAGGAGGGCATAGACCGGACTGTCCTGGGGATCCTGGTGTCTTACCAGATCAAGGTGAAGCTCACGGTGTCAGGGTAAGTGTCCCGGTACCAACCCTCGGGCCACTCTGTCCTGGTCCGAGATGGTCTGAACTGTCCCTTTCCTGAATGACAGGGAGACAGAATGCAAGGAAAGACCCACAGCTTCCATTGAATCACCAAGTAGAGCTTGGGAGAGGCTCGGTTTGTCTTGTACCATGCTTCTGTCTGAGAACATGTCAGGTGGGAAGGGGTGGAGAAGCAGACTCTGAAATAGGTGCACACTTAGTGGCACTTTGCAAAATACATGTGCATATGTGCACGTGGTGGAAGTTGATGTGCAAGAGTGAAGATTAGTCAAATGTTATCCTTCAGAAAAGAGTAACGGCTGTGAAATAACTCAGCAAATCTCCATGTATTTGCATCTTAGAAGGTATCCAGCCATAAAGTGGGGACTTTCCCTTCCCTTCTCACACTCGTAATCACAGGGCATAGGAGACTCCTTTTCATACAAGAAGGCCAATATCTGAATTTTAAGGAAACAAGTCTCCTCTTTTATTTTCATGTGAAGCCCATTTCTTCCATTTGTTTAATCCTACCAAAAGGGAATAAGTTGAGTTCTCATTTTTGTTTCAAATTCCAGTGCCAAAGGCTCTGGCCTGTTACCTGAATGAGCCTTGGGGTAGTTCTGCCGTCAAAGCGAATCTGTGTCTTGGTTTCATATTTCTAAGTCGTAAAGAATTCCCTTGAGTAAAATAAGAGTTAAAAAAAAAAAAAGAGTTTCCCAAATTTCTAACAAAGTAGAACATGAGTCTGGTTTGCATTTTTGTTAGCACGGTGTTTGTTTTATTTTTCACAGTGGATTCTCCATAAAAGGATCTAAAAACAGGGTGGAGTTTCTCTAAGCAGTCAAGAAAAGCAACCAGCAAGTATTTCACAATGACCTCTGTGACGTATCTTGAATGTTAGGGCTTGACTTTTTTTTTTTTTAATTTGTTTTGAGATGGAGTCTCACTCTGTTACCCAGGCTGGAGTGCAGTGGTTCGATCTCAGCTCACTACAATGTCCATCTCCTGGGTTCAAGCAATTCTCCTACCTCAACCTCCAAGGTAGCTGGGATTGCAGGTGCCTGCTACCATGGCTGGCTAATTTTTGTATTTTTAGTAGAGACGGGGTTTCACCATGTTGGCCAGGCTGGTCTCCAACTCCTGACCTCAAGCGATCTACCAGTCTCTGCCTCCCAAAGTGCTGGGATTACAGGCATGATCCGCTGTGCCTGGCCTTTTTCAACTAATCATCTTGAGAAAGAGATGATGTCACAGGTAGAGAGGAGGAATGGAGTTGAACATTAAGGGATGCAAAGACCCGGGAGGTTGTGAGTTAGGGTGTGAGGACCATGAGAGTGAGGGTGTGTCCTGCCTCTGAATCATGGGAAAGGGTTGCATTACCACTGTGACAGTTACCACAGGCATCTGTTTTGTGTTTCCTAGCTTTCTGGGAGAGCTCACCTCCAGGTAAGCCTGTTCACCTTCCTTCTTTGCTTGTTTCTCAAAATATCAAAGGCAACAAACCTGGGGCTCCAGAGCGGTTTCTGGTAAAAGCTGCTTTCTGGGCAGTTGTGCTCAGAGGTGCTAGGAATGATGCTTGCCTTCAGATGCATCACAGAACCGTGACTCACAGGCATTTCTTTGGGACCACAGCTAGGCCTACACCTGGGTAAGGACACATACATATGCACCCAGAAAACTGGCACACTCCACGTGGCCAGCTTGTGTGTGTGTCTGTGCGTGTGTGCGCGCGCACACACACGCACGTGTATATGGTAAAATATAACATAAATTTTACCATTATATTTGTTTATTTATTTACTTATAGATGGAATCTCACTCTGGCTCCCAGGCTGGAGTGCAGTGGTAGGATCTTGGCTCACTGCAACCTCCACTTCCTGAGTTCAAGTGGTCCTCCTGCCTCAGTCTCCCGAGTAGCTGAGATTACAGGTGTGTGGCATGACACCTGGCTAATTTTTGTAGACAGGGTTGCACCATGTTGGCCAGACTGGTCTTGAACTCCTGACCTCCAGTGATCCTCCTGCCTTGGCCTCCCAAAGTGCTGGGACTACAGGTATGAGCCACCATACCTGGCATAAATTTTACCATTTTAACCATTTTATTTTATTTTATTTTATTTTATTTTTTTGAGATGGAGTCTTGCTCTGTTGCCCAAGCTGGAGTGCAGTCGCATGATCATGGCTCACTGCAACCTCTGCCTCCTGGGTTCAAGTGATTATTCTCTTGCCTCAGCCTCCCAGGTAGCTGGGATTACAGGCACACGCCACTATGCCCGACTAATTTTGTAATTTTAGTAGAGATGGGTTTTTACCATGTTATCCAGGCTAGTCTTGAACTCCTTACCTTAAGTGATCCACCTGCCTTGGCCTCCCAAAGTGCTAGGACTACAGGTGTGAGCCACTGCACCTGGCCTTCACCATTTTAAAGTGCACAATTTGGTGACATTACGTATGTTTATGTTGTTTTGCAACCGTCACCACTATCCAGTTCCAGAACATTTTTATCACCCAAAAAGGAAATCTCATCCCCATTAACTAATCACTCTCATTTCCCCTCTCTATAGTCCCATGTGTATCTTCTAATCTGTTTCTATCTCTGTAGATTTGCCTGTTCTGGATATTGTGTGTAAACGGATTCATATAATATGTGGCCTTTTGTTACTGGTTTCTTTCACTTAGCTTAGTGTTATTAGAATAAGGTGTATCCATGTTGTAGCATATACTAGTATTTCATTCCTCTTTATGGCTCAGTAATATTCCATTGCATGGATATAACACATTTTGTTTATCCCATTCAACTGTTGATGGACATTTGGGTTGTTTCTACCTTTTGGTATTGCAAATAGTGACGGCTGCCTTTTAAATTATGCACAAAAAAGCGGCAAGTTAAGAAATGTTTGAGACAGGCATTGAGCTTTTGTTCCCCATCATCCCAACTCTTCTCATCTCCTTCCCTCACCTGGAGCCCAGATTCCACCTTTACTTTTAGACCTAGCTGCTCCTGGGTCTGATGAGGGTGCTTCATTGTAAAAAGAGGTGCTTGGTCTGGAGGTAAGCCTTGGGTAGAAGGCCCTGGGTCCTGGGTGAAGTGAGGAGTAACTCTGGTTTTTTCATCTCCTCTCCCCACCTTTCTATTTATCCTTTCTCTAAATTTCCCATCTACTTCCTTCCTTTGCTTTTGTTTTTATTTTTCAAACAGAATCTCACTTTGTTGCCCAGGCCAGAGTGCAGTGATGCAATCTCGGCTCACTGCAACCTCCACCTCCCAGGTTCAAGTGATTCTCCTGTGTCAGCCTCCTGAGTAGCTGGGATTACAGGTGTGCATCACCACACCTGTCTAATTTTTGTATTTTTATTAGAGACGGGATTTCACCATATTGGTCAGGCTGGTCTTGAACTCCTGATCTCAGCTGAGCCACCGCACCCGGCCCTTCCTTCATTTTATATAAATTCCAAGGCTGGGCATGGTCCCTCATACCTGTAATCCCAGCACTTTAGGAGGCTGAGGTGGGAGGATCACTTGAGGTCAGGAGTTTGAGACCAGCCTGTCCAACATGGTGAAACCTTGTCTCTACTAAAAATACAAAAATTAGCTGGGGGTCGTGGCTCACACCTATAATCCCAGCTACTCAGGAGACTGAGGCAGGAGAATTGCTTGAATCCGGGAAGTGAAGGTTGCAGTAAGGTAAGATCATGCCATTGCACTCCAGCCTGGGCAATACGAGTGAGATTCCGCCAAAAAAAAAAAAAAAAAAAAAGTTTGTTTACACTGTGTTAAAAAAAAAAAATCCAAGTCACCCCACAGCCCTTTAGCTTTTGGAATTAAATGGATCCTGCTCATCTCCATTCTGCCCTATAGCAAGAGATTGTGCCCAACCAGCAACATAACAGCCTTGCAGAAATTTTAACATATTAAACGTGGTGTATGTTGTTGCGAAGAATGTATTTTAAAATCCTTTCTCCAGGATTTCACCTCTTCTCCTCCCCCAGTATCACGGTACCTACTAAATAGGAGTAAGGGAAACCTAAATAGACTAGCTGCCTTAGCCGCGTATGTGTAAGTGAAGTGACTGGAATACCTTCACAATTTCTGCTTGATCATTTCTGTTTTGTTTTGTTTTGTTTTAAATCCCACTGCAAGCTGGGCGTGGTGGCTCATGCCTATAATCCCAGCACTTTGGGAGGCCTAGGCAGGTGGATCACCTGAGGTCAGGAGTTTGAGACCAGCCTGACCAATATGTTGAAACCCCATCTCTACTTTTAAAAAATACAAAAATTAGCCAGGCATGATGACATACGTTTGTAGTCCCAGCTACTTGGGAGGCTGAGACAGGAGAATTGCTTGAACCTGGGAGGTGGAGGTTGCAGTGAGCCAAGATTGAGCCACTGCACTCCAGCCTGGGCAACAGAGTGAGACTCCCATCTTTTTTTTTTTTTTTTGAGACGGAGTTTCGCTCTTGTTGCCCAGGCTGGAGTGCAATGGCGCGATCTCGGCTCACCGCAACCTCCGTCTCCTGGGCTCAGGCAATTCTCCTGCCTCAGCCTCCTGAGTAGCTGGGATTACAGGCACACGCCACCATGCCCAGCTAATTTTTGTATTTTTAGTAGAGACGGGGTTTCACCATGTTGACCAGGATGGTCTCGATTTCTCGACCTCGTGATCCACCCGACTCGGCCTCCCAAAGTGCTGGGATTACAGGCTTGAGCCACCGCGCCCGGCTGAGACTCCCATCTTAAAAAAAAAAAATCGTGCTGGATTGTCTTTCATCTTGGGCCTGGGGATCTTTTGTGATCTCTGCAGCCATAGGTCTTTGCTGGCTGTTTATAAAAGTGTGTGTGTGTGTGTGTGTGCATGTGTGTGTGTGTGTGTGTTCTCACCAATCTTCATTCTTTTTTTTCTAGTGAAGTTGCCACGGAGGTCCCGTTCCGCCTCATGCACCCTCAGCCTGAGGACCTAGGTCAGTTATGTCAGTTTTTGGCTTTCTTTCGTTGTTTACTGCTTGCAGATTTATTACTGATTTATTTCTAGTCTTTCTTGACCATACCTCAGAGCATGGGAGTGGCCAGGTATAAGAGATTCCACGTCATCTACAAGGCAATAGTCTGGTGCAGGCATCCCCAAACTACGGCCCGCGGGCCCGCCTGCGGGCTGCATGCGGCCCCCTGAGGCCATTTGATCCGCCCCCGCCGCCGCACTTCAGGAAGGGGCACCTCTTTCATTGGTGGTCAGTGAGAGGAGCACAGTATGTGGCGGCCCTCCAACGGTCTGAGGGACAGTGAACTGGTCCCCCGTGTAAAAAGTTTGGGGACGCCTGGTCTGGTGGGAAGGGAGAGCCCGTCTGTTCAGTGCTGAGCCGGGTAGTTTATCCACCTTCAGCTGGAGTCAACAAGATGTAGAATCCTTGCTCCTGGACAGCGACAATCTCCTTAGGTTTTATCAAGAACGATTTAAAAGCAGAAGCTCTGCTGTCAATAGACCGGGATTTAGACTTAAAGATGATTTAGGTAAAAACTTAATTTGAGAGCATAAGGCTTTTTTTGCATTTCATTTGGAAACGAAAGGCTTCATGTTTCATTTGAGAACATTAACAGGCATTTAAAATAAGATAATTTTTTTTGAGACGGCGTCTCACTCTGTCACCCAGTCTTCTGGAGTGCAGTGGCATGATGGAGCTCGCTGCAGCCTCGACCTCCTGGGCTCAAATCATCCTCCTATCTCAGCCTCTGAAGTAACTGGAACTACAGGCATGCCACCACCCTCAGCTAATTTTTTTGATTTTTAGTATCTTACCATGTTGCTCAGGCTAGTCTTGAGCTCCTGAGCTCAAGTGATTCTCTTGCCTCATCTTCCCAATGTGCTGGAATTACAAGCGTGAGCCACTGCACCTGGCTGAAGACAACTGTTTTTTGTTTGTTTGTTTGTTTGTTTGTTTGAGATGGAGTCTCACTCTGTCACAATCTCGGCTCACTACAACCTCCGCCTCCTGGGTTCAAGTGATTCTCGTACCTCAGCCTCCCAAATAGCTGGCATTACAGGCGCCCACCAGCACACCAGGCTAATTTTTGCATTTTTATTAGTGAGGGGCTTTCAGCATGTTGGCCAGGCTGGTTTTGAACTCCTGACCTCAGCTGATCCACTGCTTCGGCTTCCCAAAGTGCCGGGATTACAGGCATGAGCTACTGTGCCCGGCCTGAAGATAACTATTTTTGACAGTGGCAGTTATGGTAAGAATACAGAAAATACTAGAAAAGAGGATCAGGCTGGGTTCCTGACACCTCAGCTCATTTGAATTGTAAATCTACTGGCTCTTGTATGGATGTGACATGAGCAATAGTTGTATGACTCTGAGAACATACTAGAAACCACTAGAGTGTTCACTGTGAAAAGATAAATTGTGTGGTATATGAATTTGACCTGAATCACTCTCTTTCTAAAAAGGTAAATAAAGCAGCAAAAATAATATAGGTGCAATCTCAGAAATTCTGAAGAAACATTCTCTTTGCGTGAAGGCAGCTTAGTTGACAGGAAGGGAAAAGAGATCTGTCTAAATGAGAACTCTCCACAGGGACAGGAATAAGGACTATTATAAGTGAAAGTGGTAAACAAGCAGGGTTTATTTTTCTCAGACTTTACAAATAGCTTTTCTATATTGATAGTGAGATGCCATTTAAACATTAGAATGAGTCCCCCCCCCACCCCCATTCATTTTAGGTTTTGTCTCAAAAACCTGGGATTACAGACACGCACCACCACGCCCGGCTAATTTTGTATTTTTAGTAGAGATGGGGTTTTGCCATGTTGGCCAGGCTAGTCTCAAGCTCCTGGCCTCAGGTGATCTGCCCACTTCAGCCCCCCGAAGTGCTGGAATTATAGGCCTGAGCCACCATGCCCTACCTGACTTACTTTTTAAAAATTCTTTCTCCATATACAACTTTCATGTTCCAGCCATTATGGCCTTAACAGTGAGCATATCACAGTGTCAGGATGAAACAATGATCTTTTGTACTATGAGATTTCTGGGAGCAAAGGTTAAGACAAATCACCTCATGGTTGCACAATTCTGATTTCTAGAGATAGATGAGTCACCAAATGTCATCTCTCCTGTTTTTTCTGCCTAGTCCTCGGCTCCCTGAATCTAGGCTGGTAAGATTCTAAGCAGAGAAAGCATGAGCTGTATGTAGTTAGCCCTGCTGGAGCCTGGGGGCCAAGTAATTTGTGTGTAATAAGTGCTGTGACATGCTACCAAGCTTTTATTGTTCCCTGTCGAGAGCTCTGTACTGAACCAGAAGATGCTGATTTGATTCTTCCTTGTTGCCCACCTCTTCAAGGCTGATGGTCCCACTTAGTGTAATTTCCTTGCTTGGCACTGTGGGCTGCAGGGTATTTCTTGCCCAGGGGATGTTTTGACAAGCTAGCCTCTCTAGGGCCCTGTATGTAGCGACCCTCATAGACACTTCCTCCCAGTGCTGGCTGTCAGCTGGGCACCAGAGGCGAGAGCAGGGGCTCACCATCAAATCACCACTGTGCTCCCTAAAACTAGGTGGGCAGAAAGCTAAAAAAAAATAACCCCATTCATATTAATAGCAATTAGTCTGGGGATATAAAACACGTGAAAACCCAACAACAACAAAATCAATGTGTTAACAGAAATGGAAAACTGCGTGGCTGGGATTGGTCCTCAGCTTTAATGCACCCCCTAATCCTGGGGTGCTGGGGAATGTCAAGTCCAGGTCTCAGCCCTCTGAAACCTGACAGATGGAGGTGGGCAGGGTGCACACTCTCACGGCCTCAATGGTATCCAGAGGACATGGAAGGAGAAATACTTTAAAAGGAGAAGTGACTGGCCGGGCGCAGTGGCTCATGCCTGTAATCCTAGCACTTTGGGAGGCTGAGGCAGGTGGATCACTTAAGGTCAGGAGTTCGAGACCAGCCTGGCCAATGTGGTAAAACCCCATTGCTACTAACAATATAAAAATTAACCAAACATGGTGGTGGGTGCCCGTAATGCCAGCTACTTGGGAGGCTGAGGCGGGATAATCGCTTGAACCCAGAAGGTGGTGGTGGCAGTGAGCCGAGATTGCACCATTTCACTTCTGCCTGGGCAATAGAGTGAGACTCCTTTTAAAAAAACTAAATAAATAAAAAATAAGAAAGGAGAAGCGACATCAAAGGGGGCAAGGCTGATCAGGGAAAGCATCCTAGAGGTGAGACTTGGGGGGATTCATTTGAGGAGGTGAGGGTTGTGGCACATTGTAAAGGAAGCAGTGGTTTAAAATGCAAGGAGAGGCTGGACCTGGTGGCGCATGCCTGTAATCCCAGCACTTGGGAGGCCGAGGCAGGCAGATCACTTGAGGTCAGGAGTTTGAGATTGGACTAAAAACACAAAAATTAGCCAGGCATAATGGCGAATGCCTATAAGCCCTGCTACTCGGGAGGCTGAGGCATGAGAATGTCTTGAAACCGGGAGGCATACGTTGCAATGAGCAGAGATCATGCCACTGCATTCCAGCCTGGGTGAGAGAGCGAGACTTGGTCTCAAAAATAAAATAAAATGCAAGGAGAAAAGCTGTTGAAGTGGGAAAGGCAGGGAGGCAGGAATTACACGCAGTGATCATGAATTACTTATATCTAAGCCTTATCTCTCAAACTGTAACGTCACCTAAAAGGTAGACATTTTCTAGGTACAGCTTTGATATAGAATTTATACTAACAGATCTCTCTCTCTCTCTCTCTCTCTCTCTCTCTCTCCCCCTCTCTCCCCCTCCCTCCCTCTCTTTCTCTCCTCTCTCTCTCTTCCCTCCCTTTTATTTCATGCTTACAGCTAAGGACAGGTGAATGAACCTTTTGAACGTGGCCCTGACTTGCCTTGTGTCCTGGGACCTTCTCCTCCAGCACAGACCCCTCTTTGAGTCTTTGTGCATATCCCAAGCTCTCAGCTGGCTCAGGAGGCACATCCGCTACTTCCCTTCCACTCCCTAGTGCTGAAGGCATGCACATTCCGTTACGCTGAGTGTGCTTGCTCACTCTGCACGTGCCTTCGTTTTCTCCCATTGGTGCTAGTTAAAGGAACTTTAAACGAAGCCATGAGGAAAATGGCGTGCTCCCATGTTCTATCATGGGGAAAACCTTGATCAGTTCCTTCGTTGCAAAAAGATCAAGGATCTTGTTCCAGCTTCAGCATGAAAGAGCGTGCAATGATCAAAATGTTGTTTGTTTTATTTTAGTTATCAGGATGCAAATTTAGTTTTTGAGGAGTTTGCTCGCCAGAATCTGAAAGATGCAGAAGCTGAGGAGGGGAAGAGAGACAAGAATGACGATGATGAGTGAAGACGTCGGCTCAGGGTGCCGGGAAATGGCCCGTAGTTAACAGTGCAATGAGCAAAGCCCCACAGTTTAGTCCTTTGGAGTTATGCTAAGTACGAAAGGATGAGTCTTATTCCGGGAAATAAAGCTTGTCTGTTCTCCCCTGGGTCATGAGTTGGTTGATTTGTTGGGGAGGCTGAGTTGATGACATGACAGAGAAGTGGCCACCTTTAGGGTCCCTGGAGTCAGAGGGCTGGAGAGGGGGCCAGCCTTCCACAGAAGGGCTCACTGCTGGCTCATCAGGGAGAGAAGGCATCTCGAAATCAATGTGCTCACCAGGTAAGGCCCTTGGTGTGTCCAGGGGCTTTCCCAGGGGTCCCAGTCTGAGCTGTTTCTCTGGGAACAGTGTGTATGTTTCTTTGCTTTTTTTCATTTTTGAGACAGAGTTTCCCTCTTGTTGCCCAGGCTGGAGTGCCGTGCCGTGATCTTGGCTCACTGCAACCTCCACCTTCTGGGTTCAAGTGATACTCCTGTCTCAGCTTCCTGAATAGATGGGATTACAGGCACATGCCACCATGCCCGGCTAATTTTCTGTATTTTTAGTAGAGACAGTTACCCACGTTGGCCAGGCTGGTCTCGAACCCCTGACCTCAGGTGATCCGCCCACCTCAGCCTCCCAAAGTGCTGGGATTACAGGCATGAGCCACTGCCCACAGGCCAGTGTGTATGTTTCTAATTACCCAACCCATCCCAACTTCCAGGCCCCTAAAGAGCCTCCTAAGTTAAACAGGGCAGAGAACACACGTGGACAAAAATACTCTTGGTTGCTGATTCAACTTTTGGGTCCAGGTGCCAGTTTGAGCTTTGGGTTGTTGGGTAAGTTCCATTCAACGCAAGAAACAAAATCAGATTTGGTTAACTTAAGGGGAGGAGAAGGAATGTAGTGGGAGGACCCTGGTGTGGTCAGAGAACTGAAGCACGAACCTGAGCTGCCAATCAGAGAAACTCCAGGGGTCCGGAACCCAGTCTCCGGAAGAGCCTTTCATGCGGCTCAGCACCACACACTCCCAGCTCTGCGTCTCTTGGCCCCAGTGGGCAGTTCTTGGGAAGGAGAATCCAACTGGCTCAGCTTTGGCTGGGAGGATCAACACCTTGTGGCTAGTGATGACAGCCCAGCCCTGGAGATGGAGTGCCCCAGAAAAAAGGGTTGATTTTGAGTCACATGGGCTTCCCTATAGTGTGCTTCCCTGAGACTGGGCATGAAAGGCAGTGGAGAGAGCACTCTGTCAGGGAGGAAGGTGAGCTGCATGTGGAGGAGGGGTAATAGAGGGGACACCAGGCGCCTTTCCTTTGTGGGGTCCCTTCCCAGCCTGAGGTACTCGCCGGGCCTGTTACTGATGGCACAGATAGTGAACAGGCTTCATGGTGGCCCAGGAGTGGATTGGGGATATGTAGGCTCTGGTCCATGCTTTAAGGGAGCAGGGTGAAAGGGGGTTGGAGATTTCTCCACGGTTCAACCCACTCATAGAAGGCAGAGGATGATGGGAGGTGTTCTATGTGGGAAATACACATGGATCAGGTTTCGGGGACAGAACATGGCGGTGGAGGGCTGGCCAGGGCATGGGTTCCATACACATGAAGCTTCCCAAATGTTCAGCAGGATTTCAGCTGTTTGGGTCCTGGAGATTGGGATTTAGATGAGGAGGCTCCACTTGGAAAGCCTGGATGGGATCCCAGACCAAGCGAGATGTGGACCTGTCTGTTGACTCAGGCATCCAGGGGTTGGGAGGAGGATTTATAATACGCTAGACTACAGGTGGAAGATTGGTCCTTCAGCTCTGGGTTAGCAGGATCAGACACAGTCCCTTGTTCTTTTTCTGTCCTGTGCTAAGGCAATGGTGCATAACTATCCCAACCCGTGCCCCTCTCAGGGCACCCAGGCAAGGGACGGCCAGGGTGGCACACTCCTCTGGGGATTCCCAAAGCTGTTCTCCATTGCACTGAGCCCTTCCTTTGCCCTCTGCCACAGCACACAGCCTGCTGTGTTTAGTCCTGCTAGAGCTCTTGGGCTAGCCAGACTGGGATTCTGCCCTGTGGTGCCTGGTGAGAGGACCAGCCTGTTGGTTCCTGCATTGCTTGACCCCAGGACATCCTAAGTCAGCGTGGACGTTAATAAGCCCGACCTTTGGAACTATGTGGGTGAGACAGCCGGAGGGAAGGGCTGGAAGACCAATCCCTGGAGACCAGAGGTCAGAACAGGCCTTGCCCTCCAAGTTATTTTGGTGCCAGAACGTCCCGATACGCCCTCCAGGTGCTGGCTTGTTTATGGCCTGCAGCTGGCCACCCTGGGGAGGGAGTTGGAAGGAAGTGAGCAGCCAGCTGCCCCGAGCGGGATGTGGAAGCTTGGCTCAGCTCAGCCTACACATTTGTTGGGCTGTCTACTGGCACGTAGTGTCCCTCGGTATCAGGAGGCAGGAGGTCTGCATGCAGGTTGAATGTGTGGCCCAGAGTTTTTGGGACAGGTGCAGTGCAAGAAATGGGGTAAGAGCAGTTGAAAGTGCTGCACAGAGAAAGTTCTAAGGGCTGGAGAAGGGGTATCCCTGCCATTGACGCAGCGCCTGCCTTGTGCCAAGAACTTCACATCTGACACCTAACCATTCCAATGATACTTGTAAATCAGTGGCGTCATTTGCATTCACGAGACAAGGAAATTCAGGTTCAGAGAGGTTATGTACCTCGTGCAAGGTCACACAGCTAGTGAGAATTAAGGCTTGAATGCTGGTGTCCCTGAGTCTCTAAGTAGACCTTTGCCCACTGTATGGTGCTGAATGGAAGTAGGAGAGTTTAGCGGAGTGTCGGGGGTGGGAGATTAGCATTTAGGATTCAATAACTTCCCTTGCTATTTTTTTCCATTGAAATTTTCAGGCCAGGCGCAGTGGCTCATGCCTGTAATCCCAGTGGTTTGGGAGGCTGAGGTGGGCGGATCATGGGGTCAGGAGTTCGAGACCAGCCTGGCCAACATGGTGAAACCCTGTCTCTACTAAAAATACAAAAAATTAGGTGGGCATGGTGGTAGATGCCTGTAATCCCAGCTACTCAGGAGGCTGAGGCAAGAGAATTGCTTGAACCGGAAGGCAGAGGTTGCCTCTGCCTTTTCACATGCTTGGGGACCAGAAGCTATGTGTCACATGCAGTGGAGAAATGTCCTGCTCCAAATGTCAATCATGACCCTAGTTCAGGGTAAAAATGGGATGATTCCCATGTTTTCAAGTTTCCCGTTTATATTCTCCAGTGCGAAGCGGTTCTTTCTGACAAGAGTTGCGCCTCTTCGCTGACACGTCACAGAGAAGGATTAGGTTGGACGTGAAGTGTGTTATTACTGCCACCTTGATATGCCCTCAAGGTGGGGTAAGCTCAGGGAGCAGACTGTCGTTAGAGATGATTCATAGCATGACTCATTCAATAAAGAGGCACCGGAGGGAATGTGCTCTTCCAGGCCGATGCTTTGGGGGAGTTGATGTCTCAGCCCTTCCTGAGAGCTCCAGGGGAACCGCACTGCACACTCACCTCGAGAACAAAAAAGCTGCTTCATCATCAAAGAACGTTTATGCCAGAGTTTTCTTTAAGAACATCATTCTTACCAAGCCTAATCTTCTTCTTCTTTTTTTTTTTAATACACTTTTTATTTGGAATAGTTTTAGATTTACAGAAAAGTTGCAAAGATGTTCTATTGAGGCACTCCATGTCCAGAAGCCCCTATTATTAGCGTTTTGCATTACTAGGGCACATTTGCCACACTGAATGACTCAAATTTTGTTTCCAGTAAAATAGACATATGTTTCTATGATTAATTTAGGTCCAGGGGGCAGGTAGGTCCATGTGCAGGTTTGTTACATGGGTAAATTGCATGTCATGGGGGTCTGGTGTACATACACTTTTGTCACCGAAGTAAGCAGCAAACTAATCCCCACTAGAATGTTCTTCCATCCTCACCCTCCTCCCATCGGGAATCAGTATTGACACACTATTATTAAACTAATGCCCCAGACTGAATTCCCATTTCCTTAGCTTTTACCTAATGTCCTTCTTCTGTTCTGGAATCCCATTGAGGATCCCATGTGACGTTTAGTCACCATGTCTCCTTGGCTCCTCTTGGCTGTGACAGTCTCAGTACTTTCTGGTCACTGCAGATTTCCTCCTCTCCAGCCAGGGTTTCTGCTTAACCGTCACGTTCATGGCCTTGCCTTCTTGCCTCGACAATGATGAGTTCTGGAGCCCAGAAGTCCCCTGAGCTTCTAATGGGTGCAGGCAACAGCATTTTAATGACCTCCCTGTTTCTATAGTTTTTTCTCCCCTCGGTCATTTGCTGCCCAGAAACGTGAGTTCTTCTGCTTTCCAAACCCCCCTCGGCAGCTCCAGTGTCCATGGGATTGAAGTCCTTGCCCCAGAGCAGGACACAGAGGCTGCTCTTTGTCCTGGCATGGCTGCTCACCTCCCTGCCTCCTGCTACCACCTTGCCACCAGCTTCACCTAAATCCCTCATCACCCTCTCTGCTCACCTGGTAGGGGTAGCCTCTCCCTTTTTGTGTTTTCCTGGGAAGCTCCCTTCATGTATGGCCTCTCCATTCCAATCCCAAACTCCGCTCAGGTCACCTGGCTTCCCCGAGGAATGAACTCTTTCTTCCTTTGTGCGTCCCCCACCCTCCCACGCCTTGCACACCCCCAGGGGTGTGCCTCTGTGTATCACTCCACAGGTAGGTAGCGGACACAAGAGTCCCCAACTCTGTGGAGAGGCCCAAGCCCTTGGCGCCTGCATGAGTTCCCCAGGGCTGCCAGAGCACAGCACCACAGGCTGGGCTGCTTCCGTTACAGGAATGGACGCTCTCAGTTCCGGTGGCTGGAAGTCCAAGAGCACGGTGTTGGCAGCCGGGGTTCCATCCGAGGCCTCTCTCCTGGGCTCGTAGCTGCCATCTTCTCCCTGTGTCTTCACAGGGGCTGCCCTCAGTGCGTGTCTGTGTCCTCATCTCTTGTTACGAGGACGCCTGTCATACTAAATTAGGGACCAGCCCCGAGACCTCATTTTAATTTCATTACCTTTTTGAAAACCTTAACTCCAAATACAGTCACATGATGAGGTTCTGGGGGTTAGGACTTCAACATATGAATT